ACACGATGCGCTTCCGGAACTTCTTCCAACGCCCACATCTTCCTGATTGGCACCCGAATAGCTCCGCTCTCCAACATTTTGAAAAGGGCCACTAACTCCGGCTTGAACGTCTTTTGATCGCGATCAATGTAGTAGAAACTCGTCCGGTAAGGGCAAAAGGGAACCATGCCTCTTGCGAGTAGCTTTATAACTTGAGGTGGCTGACTACGAGGTTTTCCACCGGTGAGCAGGTCGAAGTTACCACCATAACCCACAAGAAGACCTCCCTTCGCCAGGATGTTCCAGCTTTCGTCCCAAGACTCGAAGCCAAGAGCATCGTATATGATGTCTGCGCCGCCCACGTCCTTCATAGCCTGCATCCAGTTCTTGTCGGAGTAGACGAAGGGCATTGCACCCGCTTCGCGGATAGCTGCGTGATTGACGACCGATGCTGTCCCATAGACTTCCGCACCTTGCATCTTGCAAAGGGTGAGGACGGCAAAACCGACACTGCCGCTGATACCGTGGATGAAGACGCGCTGGCCAGCGGAGATCTTAGCGGCGCGGTAGGCTAGCCCGTAGGCCGTGTTCCAATCTAAGACCAAGGCAACTGCCTGCTGCAGATCGAGTCCTTCTGGCACGCTAACGAGATGTTTCTCGGGTTGGTTGCATAGTTCGGCTTCCGCATCGTATTTTGTGAGACAAGCGACGAGGTCTCCAGCCCGGTATTTCGTGCAAGTCGATCCATTTTGGTGCACGCGGCCGATAAGCACATAGCCCGGCGTCAATGGTGCTTTCCTTTGCATTGGGTAGGCACCTTGTCGCATGGATATATCTGCACCGCCCATGCTGGCGTAGAGCACTTTGATTTGGACTTCGTTGGGGGAAGGCGCGGGGATGGGGGCTGTGACAACCGACACGTTCTCAGGGCCGCCGAACTCTGAGATCAGGACTTTGCGAATGGGTGTAGACATATTTTGTTTTGAGTTGAAATCTGGTCAGCGGTTTTGTGTGTCGTCCTATCTGGGGTGCAATCGATGGTGTTCGAAGCGCAACGTTGATGGAAGCTGGAATGATGGGCCCTGATGACTGCTGTTGCGCGCACTCTTATGCCCATCGAGCCTGGCAGTACAACAAAACTTGCGACGCCCATCGAGGCGGAGTATGGGCTGATGCGCTCTCATCCTCACTGTGAAAATGGGATGCGGAGAGTTCGTGGCTTCGAGATGGAGGCCTGACGCTGAGTGCGGAGAGACTGGTGGTCTCCTCGGGGAGATAATCTGCCCGTCCCACTGAAGAGGTTAGTGGCTTACTCTTTTAGAAGCTAGCCTCAGTCACTGACGGGGGATGATTGCCCAGGCGGGATCTATCCACCTTAAGAAAGGCTTTCAGCTCAGACTGCCGCCTGGGAGCTTATGCACGTCATCATCGAATTTGGAGTAATGCGCGCCAGTCGTAGATCCAATATGTGGGACGCGCTCTCACACCTTAGAGAAGACATTGTGCGAGCTCAAGTTCAGTGCATCGTCATCCTCACAAAAACAGCTCACCCTCAAACGAAGTATGGTATTCGGATATCGTCAGAATTGACATTGCTTTGATCCTATCTCTTCAACACCCCTTTCTTTCATACCTTATACTTTCCCTTCGCAGCTTCCTTGATGATGTCTGCTGCCTTCTCCGCCGTCGCATACACAGTGGTCATGATGTGAGAAGCTGGGAGAATCGGCATGACACTGGCATCAATGACCCGCAGGCCGTTAACACCATAGACCTTCAGTTCTTGGTCCACGACACCGCCATCTTCCCTAGCACCCATCTTGCAACTGCCAGCGGGGTGGTACAGCGTCGATGCGGTGCTGCGAATGAAAGCATCGATGTCCGCAGAGGCGGTAACATTGTTGCCTGGAACAGCCTCGAACGGATTGAGCGAAGCAATAGATGGTGTAGCAACGAATTTGCGAGCCCAGTGTACACCTTCGCGCAGGAGTGCTGTGTCGACTTCGTTACGGAGGAAACCTACATCTGCGACTGGGCGATCGAACATGCTGGATGAGTTCGCCTTTACGCTTCCACGCGAGTACGGATGCTGAAGTCCGAGCACCACGACGCCGTCGGCCCAGATGATCTCCATCATCGCGGAATCATTGGCTTGGAGCTTCTTGTTGAGAGAAGCAAACTGTGCCTCATAGCCTCGTGCGACTTCAGCGGGGGTATCAGCCGGGAGAGAGGCAGATGATCCACCTGCGACTGCTTGAGCCAAGATAGATTGCGTGGCGTTGGAATAGGTTTGAAGTGGCAGGAAGAGAAGGAAGTCACCGGTCGGGGAGGTTAGTGGGCCAGACTTCTCATTATCGTACTGCTCACGAGCTTGAGCTGCGAAAGTGGTATTTGATGCCAGGGTGTTGGTCAAAAGGGTAGTGTTGACTGTGTCAATGTCAGTGATTCCTCAGCTAAGCCATACAATCGCATACTTACGGACGTTCACTACGGCAACGGAAAGATGGTCATGCAGGTTGTACCCGACGGCGGGAAGATCAACGACGGTGGTCACATTGATGGATTCGAGCAGGGAGGCTCCGCCAATTCCAGAAACCTGCAACAATTGTGGCGTGTGCAACGATCCAGCAGCGACGATGACTTCTCGCTTGGCCTTGGTTTGTTGACTCTCAGCATCTGCAGAAGTCGAGAACTCAACACCAGTAGCCTTGACCGTATTCGTCTCATTGCAGCTTTCCGTAAGGACGCGCGTCACAAGACGGCCAGTGAGAAGATGATAGTTTGGACGCGGTTCGGCAGATGCATAGTAGGCTTCTTCCGCGGAGGAACGTGTCCAGTTCATTGGGACCATGTTGTGTGGGCAGAAATAGCCACCGAACGCATTCCCAGTCGCCTGGTCATTGATAGAGATTCCCAGTTCCTGAGTAGCTTGTACGAGGTTTTCTGAAATAGTCATCAGTATCTTGCCGTATGAGAATGGTGCGTCAAACTCACTAGTCGTTGGCCAGAAGAAAGGAGAGTAGGTTACTTCCATGTATCCTTCGTCGCCATGGTATTCGGGGTTGACCTGAATGTCGTATTCGGCTTGGATCTCAGCAGTTGGTGGTGTGAATTTCTCGTTCTTGACACTGGTTAGAAAATATCAAAAAAACTGTCGAAAAGAACAAACCTTTTTGAAGTACTTCAGGAAGGTCTCGAAGTTCCAACCTTCGTTTCCCAGAGTCTCCCACCCATCGTAATCAGATTGTGAGCCACGATCGAACACCATGCGGTTCAGCTTTGTCGACCCGCCCACGACCTTGCCTTGTGGAATAGAGACAACGCGGCCGTCTAGTGCTTGGTCCGGAGCATACGAAGTGTTCCAGTCATACTTCGTTCCTACAGCACCGCCTGCAAGACCTGGAATGGTGACGTAGTCCTGGTTCTGGTCGCTGGAGACAAATCAGCAACTTGATGGGCGTGGTGTTTATGAGACTTACAGATCGCCGGCCTCGATAACGAGTACGGTCACATCTATAACAGGACGACGTTAGTGTTTTCCGTAAACCAGGATACTGTATGAGCTTACCCTTATCCTCGGAAAGTCGATTGGCAACGGTAAGACCCGACGCGCCGGCGCCTACGATGACATAGTCGTATTCCGGAAGCAGGTCCTCTGCTCTCGAAACGAGCTGTGCATTGGAGAGTGGATGTGCGAAAAGACCAGTCGCAGAAAGAGCGACAGTCGCTCCGAGACTCAAAAGAGAAGGCATGATCACAGCGTACAACAGCAATTGTGTCTGTCGTCCTCACAGAAGAGTACTTGGGTATATGTACCTAAAGAAAATCGAGGTAACCGTAATAACACCGGCGGTCGGGCCGCCCGCATCTGCCGATGTTCAACACCAAGGGCCCAGCCGAGACCAGTCCATGATATTCGTCAACATATAGCGCATGGCGCGTTGGCGAGTTTCCGATTTATAATGGTTCGGCGGCTTTTATCCTGTGTACGCGATAGTTTTCAGGCCAAAGCAGATTAGCGGAGGCGGAGTCTGACGCCAGTAGATCCTCCGACCTTATCCGGGGAGTGAGCCGTGTTGGCGTTTTCCCGGGGCCGCTGGTTGTGTGCACGGTGTGGCTTGAAGGATCGGCATGATAAAGCCGGTAATTGGTTCGCTGCATCGGTTCGGTGCTTCGCTGGAAGCGGGCTGTGTTCAGTGGCTTGAGGGCGATTATGTCGTGCCTTGTATGAGGGCGATTATCGGCCCTGCCCAATATCTGCGGCATCTTGCTGTCGTGTTGCGGCACAGTTGAGTGTATATCACGTGTTTTCTGCGGTAGTGGACCTCGGCCCGGGCGGGTCTCGCCCAGGTGGGCTTGCTTGCAGCTTGCGCGTAGGCTACACGAAAACATCCGATGCAGATGCGCAATACAACCACCCCAATTTTGAAATACGAAGTCTCAGCCTGTATGAGACTGCCGATGCGATATGGGAAACCGAGCGATGTAAGGTTTGTTTCGCGTTAAGGTTTGGAGATGGATGTCAAGTTACGGGAGGCCTTTCGAGAGTAGCGCCCCTACACACGGGGTGCACTACTAGGTACTCAGGTGGCTATGTCATCGCTGTCGCCCAAGGACTAGACTAATGTTTGATGGCATCCATGTCCACTACGCAATCGTCATATTCGAACTCGGAGTTGCGTCGCGAGCGACCTTGGGTGGCCCTAGTTCGAAACGAATTCAGATTGATAGATAATCATCTAGCCAAAAGAAAGGCTTGCATGGTAGGTGTGTTCACTCACTTTCGTGTCCGCTGTAGCGCACTGTAAATCAATGTGATCTCAGTATTGACTGAATACCCTACGAGACTTATCTGCAGAGGTGAAGAACAACCCTAAAGACCAAAAGCACGAGACAGCAGGCATGTTCACGAAATGATTGAACGGTCGGTACCTCCTACCTGGCGAGATCAACGTGACTGCTCACACAACAGTGTACTCGGAATGGCGACATCGCCCTCAACAAACTTGGCCGACTTCAATCTAGATAGGAAGCGAAGTGTCGGTGTCGGTGGCTGTCGACCACATACTCCTAGTTTCGTCTTGGTCTGCCCTCCTCCCGGCTTCATCATCATCTGCCCCACTATCCATCATACCGAGTGCTTTCTGCCTCAAGTTCAGCACGACCATGAGATGCTCTGCACTCAGTCTTTCCTTTTTCCTGGCCGCCAAGATCTTTGCAGTCTTGATCGCGCTCTTGATCTGACGGCCATTGAAGTTGAGCTTTGCCAGTTTCTCCAGTTCAGCTTCTCCGACATCCACATCCTGCGCATCGATAGTAGCCAGGAAGTTGCGCCAGATTTGAAGGCGATCACTTTCTCCGAGCGAGCTGTAGCTCAGCGTGATATCGATCCGAGATTCGAAAGCCGTGTCGATACTGCGCATCCGATTCGTGGTCAGAATCATGATGCCTTTGTAGTATTCGAGTAGGCGAAGGAAGACTGAAACGAGCTCGTTGCGTTGAAGATTGTTCACAGTGCGCGCCTCCATGAACACATCAGCTTCGTCGAGAAGCAGGACAGCACCGAAATGTCCACACAGATTCAGCGCGTTCTCCAAACTATCCTCAACGGCACGCGCCGTCATTCCCAGATCACCAGCCCCGAGCTTATAGAGGGGGCGACGTAGGTGCTCAGAGACGGTCTCTGCGGTGAGTGTTTTACCCACGCCTCTGTTTATTGGTGTCTAAAGTCAGTAAGTGTCTCACAGACCGTGCGCACTGGGCTACTTACGGAGGGCCACAAAGCAGCATAATCATGCCTTGGCCTTTGCCGACGACGAAGTCATCGAAGGGCTTCCCTTGCTTGAACTGATCGCGGTCTACCAGAGCCAAGACCAGATCCTTCTCGTCCTGATCGAGGACTAAGCTGTCGAAAGCATGCTCAGCCCAAGGTATTTCGTGGATCTTAGTCACATCTAGTCTCTCCCACTTCTTCTTCTCAATGTCAAAACACTTGACATAGTGCACAGCGAGAAGGCATTCGTCATTGGTCATTGGTGAAAGATCGAGTTCGATTGGCGATCCCGGGGTGTTTGGTACACTGGCGGAGTAACGCTCCATGGATTGAGCCCACGTTAGCTGGCCTATCTCAGACAGTTTAGCGTATTCTGGAAACGGGATCGCGGGCTGGTATTTGTGGTATGCTCGTGCGTCAATAACCATCCGTTCGTCTACACGTTCTTCGTGTTGGTCGGTAAAGGCTTTGAAGAAATGGCCGCGTAGTGCTTCGAACCGGCGGCCTCGTTTGATGAGTCTTTCGCGGATAATCTTTTGATCAGGAAGATCTTCGAGAGGTGATACATCCAACGCAGTCAATGCTCGTAAGCCCTGATACTGGAACACGTGTTTCGGTTGAGCAAGAAGACCGCATCGCCTTCCATCCCAGTCAACCACATCGACGCCTATCGACCAGAACATCTTTGGCGTTGGGGGAGGCATGCACGTAAGGTTACAATATCGAACAATCCCAACCGAGTCTGTCTTGTGATCCAGAACCATCATGGCGGGAATAAGAACCAAGTTCAGGTCCTGGAACGCAACATGCCCGGTTGTCTTTACATCGCGGATCTTATCGAAAGACTCTTTGAGGAGGGGCTCGAGGACGTCCTGCAGTAGCTCTAGATGTTGCTCGGTCTCCGACTCTGGTTCGACATTATCCTTGAAGCTAAGCATCGCTTCCCATCGATGAATGAACGGAAGAAATGGCGGTGCAAACGACTTCATTTCATGCTGTGTCAAGCCTGGGTAACCTTCGAGTATCTTTTCTAGTGCAGCGTGAAGAAGCGTGCTGTTGATTCGTAGTTCATGGATTTTCCATTCATCCAGGACCTCATCAAAACGATGGTAGACGTTTACCGCGAAAGCTTCCCGTGCTTTCTTCGTCCGAAGTTTGTCTCCTGTAGCACCGTATACCGGCGGCTTCTCATCCACCCAGTGGTATCTGTTCGGATCCTCAGCGGTTGGGACGCGGTATATGTCTCGGTAGTCGCAGCGCCTGCCCGTCTCGACGGCCTCCGTCAGGTCGTCTGCGGCGGGCAGCTGTTCACCTGGAAGGTACGCATGCGGAGCGAACCCAGGTGGCGGACCCAAGCTTGGATCCCAAGGGCCTTGATACATCATCTAAAGTGGATTAGTGGGTCACTGGGAGTTCAAGATGCAGCGGTGGTGTCTAACCATCTGTTGGTTCGGCACAGGCCTTGCCCCGCGTGGTGTACGTCGCGATCGTTGGCTACTGACATCGTGTTGCGGTGGGATGGGAGGATAGCCGCACATCTTCTCAGTAGACGAATGTGCAAAGAAGTGAACGTTTGGATGCTCCAGCAAGGCTGAGCGTGGACAGGGGAGATCACGGTCGAGGAATCGCAAGTTCACAGTGGTGAATACTGTCGGAACCAGATGACAATGCTGAAGTAGTGATTCGAGTTGTAGAACCCGTCAAGCTTATGTCCTGAGCAGAGTCTGACGAGAGTGTCGCCGGATATATGACTACTAGTTGATGGATGCCTGATGAGACCGGTGAACCTCAGGCTACACAACAGCCTCCCATACAATTGGCTAGAGACCGTAAGCAATGCCCCGCACCTCAACAAGATTTCAACAGGGCAATAAGAAGGCAACAAGATAAGGTGATACGAGGGTCGCGCGTGAGTGGATTAAAGCACCTGATCGTACACTGCATCTGAGGTATGCCCAACTCCACCACTGCCGCTTGTGTCACTAGAGCCAGCACTAGCTCCCTCATTGAAGCCGCTGCCGTCAGTGCCCACACACTCAGAAGAGCTGTGGCTCCTAGGCGGAACACTCTCAGTTTTTCCACTCCCACTATCATCCTTTGTGGAACTTGTAGAGCTCGGATGTACGCTGCCTACGGAATCGTTGTTTCCGAAGCGCGTAGACTCGTGATGCGCAGAGGTCGCAGAGTCGTGTTGGATCAAATCTGGCCTCTCGTCGTATCCTGTGCCATAATGCTGATGATGATCGATCTGAGCGAGAGGACCAAAGAGCAAGGCCCGAATCGCAGGATCGGTCACATCCTGGACCCTGGGTGTATTCAAACCACGCGATCGGTATTTCGGCGGAAGAGGGATAGCAGTGTCTATTGGTTGCACAGGCTCGATGCTGGCGACTGGATTCAACTTGATGAGACGAAAGGGCGGCTTCTTAGGAGTCGATAAGCCCGCGGTGGCTTGCGAGGTTTCGTTGCCGACTGCCTGCGGTTCGCGTACTCGCCGATTGCGCAGTGCGGAGAACTAATGACCATCAGTGTATTGCAGTAGCCATTCGGTTTGATACTATACTATACAACACATTGTCGCTAAAGTCCACTGGGCGTTGGTGTAAGCTGGAAGCACACCAACAGTTGACGCGAAGTGAGGATACCGAAAGAGACTGATCGAAAGCGTAGAACAAACAGCAAGCGGATTAGCCGGCTACGTTACGCATACATTGCCATACTTGCAGCAATGTCATGGCTTCGTTCCTGGCTCGTGATACTTGAGGAGCCGAAGCACAGCCTATCCGAGGTACCGTGGCTCCGCATGCCTGATACGGAACGATCACGACATTGGGAAATCGTAAAGTTTGGCTCTTTCGAGATGCCCAGGTGGTGTCGAGGTCGAACGTGTCCTTGTGGAGCGCACATGTTGCTGTGTCGCCCAACACCTCATGACTTGATTTGGGACAGCATGTCTTCCTCCGATTCTTCAAGGTAGTACATGAGAGGCCGGAGCGGGATTGCGGGTTGGACTGGTGAAATTCCGGAGGGACTCAGGAGGTGCGTCCGCAACCTTGGGATTACCCCGCGACGACGCGTCAGTACGATCAAGTATAGACTTCCGAGCGTACCCAACCACACGCTCCTACACTCTGCGTTACGACGATGTCCGTGATGATAGGTGGCTTGATGGTGGGATGTATCGAGGTGTTGAATGTGTTGGTCGCAGGAGACACGCCCAACCGTTAGCAAGAGCGGCCAGCGCTTCGCGCTTGCGCTAGGCCAGCATCATCATCGCTCGCACATTGACTCTGCTGCACCACTCTTTCACGACACACTGTGAGATCCCATGCCACTGTTTCACGTAGGGCCGAATCCTGCGATAACAATTCAAGATTTCTCGACGCCTACATCACGCAGCGATGCGAACCATGAGCAGATCTCCGAGAATATGACATCATCGCAGTCTGGCCTGCCACATTGAATACGAAGCGCAAGGGCTGTCGGATGGTCAACCCAAGTCTAGTATGAACTCCTATACTGAGCGAAAAGAAAAACAATACCAGATGAAGCGCCGTAACATTCATCGCTCGAGTTACTTTGCTATTCGCACTGTAGGTGAAGAGCCACTTACAGTGACCGAGCGGTATACAGCTGGGCCTTTCTCCTGGCGTATCAATGCCAGAAAATTGCGCATCTAGGGATGGTCAGCGCCTATAATCTGAGACACAGAGCATCACATCTTGCCACAGACTGCCACGTCGACGGCACGTGACCAACTCGACCCTTGTGCAAATCACTTCACCGCTCCACTCAGTAAACAAGGCACCATGGCAGGATACGAGAGCGGATTGACAGCATGCGATAAGTCATAGCTGACAGTTGGAGATCTATTTACGCATAATATAACTGTCATGTGCAAGTCCATTCACTCATCAAAAAAAGTTTCGCGATTTATAACTCAGGGTCTGGCTGCATCCTGTTGAACGACCCCACGGACCCCTGCATACCTCAATCCACGGCACCACTTAAGCTCGATACTGGGCTACTACGTCATACCTCTTTGCAATCGCGAAGTTTGCCATGTGCTACCACAACTATTCCCAGCATAATGGGTAAGTCCTTGTGGTTCGCGGTGCTTTTTGGGGGGAGCAGTTATTGTGGAAGTTAGCTTATCTGACGACTGAGTTTGTAGTTGCGGCCATATTGGCGAATCGCATACGCAACCATGGACGCTGTGCGACACAGCGATTCAGAATCTGAACGCGCTCCGAGGGCCTAACTCCCCACCAATCTCCTCGCCCACAGCAAACTATGCATCACCACCAAAGCGCAGCTCATCCACGCGACGCTTCTTTTCGCTGAGCGGACAGCTTTCGCGGTCTTCCACTAATGCGTCGACGAATTCGCGTCGCGCCGTTTCGGGCCCGTCAGGCACGACAACGCCCCGAACCTCAGACTCAAGCTCGGGGTCCTACAACTATACCATGGCGCTGGATTACAGCACCTTGCCAGACCATCAGCTCGCAGCTGTGAAATGTGCAAACCCTATTAAGCGCACGCATGTTAGTAGGGACATGGTGGTCTGCAAAGATTGCGCACGCGAGATAGGCCATATGCGCAACATGATTCAGCGATACGACAAGACCGGTAGCATACGTGGCACCGCCGCGTTTGAGAAGTTCTTGAAGTGGGAGGGAGAAGGCGGAGGAGAAAGGGAGGGCGACTTGACCGTGCCAGTGGACGATGACAACGATGGTGGGTCGTTTGGGGCTAGACAAGCTATTATCATGGGCCATCCAGAGAGTCTCATGAACGCGGAGGGGCCGAGGGGCTTGGGGACGCTCGAACGCGAGGGAGGATACGACTATCGGTATTGAACAACGAAATGTGTGTTGAAAGAGTCGGAGTGGGGGGAAGCGGCATGTAACGAAGACGTCTCTAGGTTTTGTGGATAGCACGGATAGCACTTACGCAACCTTTACATCGCTCCAAGCTCAATGTGGTCCGGACCCTCCCGCAGCTTACCACTAGCGTGTGATGACATGCAAGTATGACTTCATATATGAAGTCTCCTGTCCATACTGCAACAACGGGACCACGATGAGCGCTGATCCCTGCGAGCTGTGATCCATGGATAGATCATACGACAATCGAACGACGGGTCGGCCGCGACGGTCTGGTTGTTCCGCGGTTGCCATATGCATACATACACAAGACCCACGCAGACTATTTCCGTTAACGGACCCATGCATGCCAATTCCCGAAATCATGCAAGAGCTGCAATGCTTATGTCAGACTTACACTGATCCACTGCTCTTCGTACGTTCTGATTAGCTCGGTGGTAACCTCCTCCATCGCCTCCCTGTTGTCTATCTTCAAGACAGATACTGTACAATGCACGCACCCAAAGATTGCGCATTACCATTTGCTTACAAGGAAACGGAGTTGCGCATCACTAGAGGCCACTACTTCGGCGCCTTCCGCCGTCTGCGCCACCTGCCTCCAACACGACGCATCGAAGCTTCCACTTTCGGAAGCAGCGTGATGATAGACGGCGACTATGTAAGTTTAAAGCGAGTCCTAAGTCACGAAAATGCAGCTGGATAGCACTACTGGCTTAGAAACTATGTCTCAGCTGTCTGGACTTCGCACAAGCACCTGGATAGGAAGTCTCCGAATAGGAAGCCCCAACGCAGATGTGATACAAGAGTGAACATGATGATCACTTCCAAGACTGTGTCGCATCGTGATTTAGAAATCTGTCACTTTAAGGCTCGGTAAGTTTTGCCGACGGTGCTCCACTACTGGCTGCATTGATCTGCAGTACAGTCCTAACGTAATCCTGGCCGAACGATTCTTTGCGACTCAACTGTCAAGTACTTTGAGGCTCGACGGGGAGTTCCGATACGCTGTGTGACCTGCACCGTTTGATATCCAAGACAGTCCAGAAGCGCTTTGGGTACCTAGATAGAGGCTCCGCGGAGCCGTGTGGCCTCTGCACTAGGCGGGCACCAGCATGATGTACCCGCACCTTCGCTTCGCACTTCCTGGTCGACTCGAGATCTCGATGCGATCTTCCTTTTCAGGCGGTGATAGTGGAGGTCGCCTCTCGTTTGTCGGTTTTGCCGTCCGCTACGAACGACGCTGTTGCCTGCTATGTTCGGAAAACAATGGGGCGGTGTCATCTTATCACCGTTCCAGGTTTCTACATGAAAGTACGGTGCTTACTTCCGCGATGCGTAGTGATGAAATCGCGACAAAAGCAAAGCATTGGTTCGGCCTTGTGTCCGCAGTCTTCGATAGACGTCCTGTTCGGTTACTCAAAACAGACATGATGTTACGTATCTTCGTAGGCCTTGCTACTTCTCATCGCGCTATGGAATTGTATTGGCCCGGTCCTACGACCGCAGTCTTCAACGGATATGCCCCGAAGTTACTCGAAGAAGACATCGTAGAGCCATCTCCCTCCGTGGAAGCAGGACTCACGGCTCGAAAGCGCATTGGCTCGGTGGTATGACCGCAGTCTTCGACATCTTCCAGAGTTACCAGAAAGAGTAGACAGAGAGTCAGTTCTTCTCCGCGGTATCGAAAGCGTCATTGTCATGCATGTTGAGGCGAGTAAGGCGGGTGGATACTATATAACATGAGTAGAATACTTGCGATTTGGTCGCTCAACAATTATGTTTGAGGGAGGATATAACGTTCACGCTGAGACGCGAAGTCACGGACGCATGATTGTGAAGTTCGCTATACATGCGAACGAACCACGGCACTTCGTGCTCATGAGGTCGAAGGAGCATGGAAGCGCTTTCACGATAATCATGCGCAGCACGCTTCTCTTCACAATCCCACCTCGCAATCACGTTAAAGTGGAGAAAGCATCAATCAAGCCTTTGGCGTGCTACCTTCTCATTGAGCCGATCTAAAGATGCGTCATCTCCTACTTCTCTCCATCATAATAACCCCTTCTCCTCGATATCAATCACGTAATTTGTCACGGCCTAGTCTTGGCTTTTGAGAATTCTAGAATAGATCGCTCTGCTATTGTGCGAGAATTCAATCCGGATAGCGCCAACAACACGCCGGTCAACATGTGCATCGAAATCAACACTCGGTACCGCCACTGCGCCCACGCCACCCTTCTCCGCTGGGACTACTGCGCCATCCTCACACCCCGTGAACGTCAACCCGCCACCGGCCGCTCCTGTCGAAGGTATAAACTGCGCTATAAAGAAAGCACCGACAACAGCGGCTGTTTCGACTGCGCGTTGTCTGAAGTCGCTGGATGGAGCGCGGCAACGTCGCCAACAGTGTCAGGCTTTCCGGAGAGATCACCCACCGTATCGAGTTTCTTGAGCGCTGGTGAAGGGAGCGCGAGGGCAATTTGGTCGCCGCCATTTTCTCCGACGTTTATGGAAAAGTCGCCAAGTTTCTCGACGTTTGGTAGTGGGACAGGATTGTTGGGTGGCAAGAGGGATAGGCGGAGTAAGGAGAGCGAGGTCAGTGTCATCGCGAGTGACGAGCCGGGGACTCCAGGGGCGCCGAAGAAGGACTGGCGGGCAAGTGGCGAAAGTAAGGAGAGCCAAGAAGAAGAGCACCACGGTGATGAAGCGAGTGGGCGTGGGTTGAAAGGCTGGTTCAAGAAGAAGTTCAAGGCGAGAGAAGGGTACAACGTAGCGTTGGGATTTCAGATGATGGACGCATAGTTGGCATCAGCTGGCGAGATATGTTGGTGACTTATGAGGATGACGTGTAGATTATCAAGTACCTGGATGGATACATTGGCGAATGGAATTTCGAGAGTCAACAAAAATACAGTGAGTACCTCCAGGCCCTACCAGAGTTTTGTTTCGAATCGCTCTCTCAACTTCTCGTAGTTCTTCACATCGCCCACACTCGGCCTGACCGTCTTCGCCGCCTCGATGAGATCCAGCTCTTCGACGACCTCGCTGTGTCTTCGCAGTGCGTGTTGTCCAGCCTTGCGCAACAGACTCTCTAGATCAGCACCCGAAAAGTTGTTGCATACGTCTTGGCGACCGATTTCGGCGAGCTCGTCGCTGAGAACGCCGCGTTGCCGAATGAGCGCCTTCAGGATATCCACACGCTCTTCTGGCTTGGGCAATTCGACGTAAAGTAGGGTCTCCAAGCGCCCGGGTCGGAGCATTGCCTCGTCTATCATCTCGGGCCGGTTGGTAGCAGCGATGAGATATATGCCTTCGCGCATGGACAGGCCGTCGAGCTCTGTGAGCAGTGTGTTCACAACGCGGGCGGAAGCTTCGTGGAGCTCGGTGGAGCGTTTCGGAACGAGGGCGTCCAGCTCATCAAAGAAGATGACACACGGTACGGAAGAGCGGGCGCGCATGAACACCTGGCGTAGGGCCCTTTCGGACTCTCCAACGTACTGGAACTTGTTAGTATGCGGAATGTCTTTTGAAGGCCATTTTGTAACGTACCTTGTTCAGAAGCTCCGGTCCCTTAACGCTGATGAAGTTTGCTTTGGACTCTGCTGCTACCGCCTTGGCTAGAAGCGTCTTACCGCAACCGGGTGGCCCCCATAGTAGCACACCAGTAGGAGCTGAGATACCAAATTTGGCGAACTTTGCAGGATCTTTGATAGGTTCGCAAATAGCCATTTCGAGCTCTTCGCGAACACCTGCCAGCGCTCCGACGTCTCGCCATGTAGTATCAGGCACAGTGGCAAAGCCTTCTCGCTTTGATGATGGGGTGATAGTAGGAAGTACGGCCTCAAAAGCTTCCATCGAGATTACGGTATCTTCGAAACCCTCAGGCCGTGGAGCTTCCGTATCCTTGACGCGGGTAATCAGGCGCCGAATAGATTGGTACACCCGACTATCCGCGTTGAGCGAAAGACCGCCGTCAATGTCCATTGTAGTCTCTGCGTCGGCCGCTTGCTTCTCGAGTGCTCGTCGATACTGATCCATAGACCATGTACCTGCTTTGCTAACCAGATCCTTCAAATCGGCACCGACGAATCCAGCTGTCCGTTTCGCTAGTACACCAAAGTCGACGTTCTCCGCGAGCTTTGGTTCGCGCGTCAGAGCTTGCAGTATAGACCGTCGCATAAGCTCGTTGGGTACACCCATGTTGATTTCGGTATCAAATCGGCCTCCTCGACGTAAGGCTGGATCAAGACTGTCAGGGCGGTTGGTAGCGGCGAGGACGATAACAGGCTTGCCGTTGTTGCCTTCCATAGCTAGGCTGTCCATAGATATGAGAAGCTGAGCGACTATTCTCTTCTCCATTTGACTCTGTGCACTGTCACGCTTAGGCGCAATGACGTCGATTTCGTCGATGAAGATCAGACATGGTGCAACCTCCTTGGCCTTCTCGAAGTGTTCCCGTACCTGCTTCTCGGATTCTCCAGACATGCCTGACACGACGGATGGGCCCAGAATCTCGATAAAGGGGACACCTATTTCGGCAGCGAAGGCTCGACTTATGACTGTCTTACCGCATCCAGGTGGTCCATGGAGGAGTATACCGCGTGGTATTGGGATCTTACGGTTGGCGTATTCTTGTGGGCAGAGAAGCGGGAGTACCAGATGCTCTTTGAGTTGCGTCATGACCTTCTCAACACCCCCTATATCTTCAAGTGTAACACCTGTAGGAGCCGCAGTGTCGATCTTGTTCTCCTGAGCCCCTGCCTTCTTCTGCCTCTTGGCCTCCCTCTCTTCTTTCGACTTTCCACTGTCCCGCTTCTTGCTCTTCTCACTCTTTTCCGCATTTGCAGCAGGCGGAATCGCCCATTGATTGACAATTTGCTTGTTCATCCAATCGCTTGATCGATCCTTCTTCTCCTTCGGCTCGTCCATGGTGAAGTCTCCTTCAAGTTCGGCCATTTCGTCTTCGTCATCGGATTCTTCGTCTTCGCGGATAACGTCAATTACGCGGTCAATGGAGTCCTCGATCTGCTTCTTAGGCCGCCTCTTCAAGCTGGAGTTTGATCGCTGTATGTAGTCGTATACCGTAGATAACCGGAGCTTCAGCGCCGACTCACCCTTTTCGTCCAGGTATTTACGGACTACTTGGTACACCTCCTTATCGAGGCCAGCCTGAAGAGATGGCCGACCTTTTGAGACCATGGCGACCACGATGGTAGGACTTGAGTCAGAAAATAGGTACAGACTTCGATGTATTCGCCTGGCGTAGTTGGAGTGCTGGACCTTTCTAAGCACCCGACAATGGATAAGGCTCGAAAACTCCTGGATCCGTACAGCCAGTGAGGCCTGATATTGATACAATGGTGACTGGGCTGCGACACGAGACTTGCACGGTGAATTGGTATGCAACGGTAATGTTGCGCGTGGCTGTCGCATCACCAAAAAAGTTCGCGACGGCTATCGATAAGGAAGAGTAGCGCCGAGCTTAGCTTAGCTCTAGCCCGCATACGTCAATCAAGGCACAGGGTCAAGTCGCATGCGCAACTCCCATCCCTCATGGATCTCGCAGCAATATGGGCAACTCAACCAGCGCGAACAAGATTTCAGCCCAGGATAAGTGAGTCGTGAATGCTACTCTGTATAGACTTTGCTGACGTGCCAGGGCGATCCTGGATATGAAGAACCAGCGCGATAAGCTACGACAGTACCAGAAGCGCATCACCGTCCTGACCGATCGCGAGAAGGAGATCGCCAAAGAGTGCTTAGCCAAAGGCGATACGAATAAGGCGAAGCTAGCGCTGAGGAGAAAGAAGTACCAAGAGGGTCTCTTATCCAAGACTGATGCTCAGCTAGCGCAGCTCGAGATCCTGACGAGTGATGTCGAATTCGCTCTAGTCCAGAAGGATGTCCTGTTCGGTCTGCAACAGGGAACGGCAGTGCTCAAGGAGATACACAAGGAGATGGGCGGCATAGAGAACGTGGAGAAGTTGCTGGGCGAGAACGAAGAGGCTCGGGCTTATCAAGAGGTGCGTCGCATCCCCAAGCTTCTAACCACATGGATGCTGACACGCGCAACAGGAAATCAGCGAACTCCTCGCGAACAAAATGTCGAACCAAGACGAAGACGAAGTTGAAGACGAGCTCGATGCTCTCGAAGCCGAGGTCAACGGCACCGTGCCTGCACTGCCCGACGCGCCCGTTGCCCAACCACAGTTCACACCCGAAGAGAAGGCGCAGATGGCCAAGGACAGAGCGGCGAGAAGGGCGAGGGAAAGGGCTGCCGAGCAGGCATCGCAGCCCATGCTGGCATGATGAGACATTGCATTGGTGCATAGATTGCATTAGAGCGTGGCGTTGGGGTGTTTTGCTGGCATCGCGTGGACCATGTGGCACTTGGCATGGTGCATGTTTGCTACTTCTACGCATATACACAGGATTCTATCTGCGACGTTGTTCTACGGGTCTCTGCAGATGATGACGACATGTGCGAAACATGGGCAATGATGCGGCGTCTTGCATCCATGGATGTTTGCCGTCTACGCCAGTCTCGCCTTCTCTTCACATGCCGAGCGCGCTGCGTCATAGCCCTTGCCCTACAACAACGCCGTCTCTCCTGCCATCTCTCTCCAACCACCAGAACCTTCCGACGCTGCATCAACAAGCCTTACCCCAGCTCCCTGCACGAAGCTCAAAGCTACCCCGCCATCACCCCACCACAATCAGCCTTACCGAGCAAACACACCCGACATCCCCAGCAAACATGTCGCACTCACACTGTCACGACGAGCATCACGACCACTCGCATGGCGACGGCCACGACCACAGCGATGACATCACGCCCGCGCTACAGAACATACTCTACGAACAACTCGACTTCCCCAAGCTTGTCACCCTCAACGAAGATGAATCCAACAGCGGCCGCGCAATCTGCCAGAAGACTTGGGCGCAGCGCCTCGACCCGGAACCCGAGCTGAAGAGCAGCGCCGACGAACAGATCCTCATGACGGTCCCCTTCACGGGCCAAGTCCGCCTACACTCCATCATCCTCCGCACAAGCCCCGGCCCCGACTGTCCCAAGACCCTCAAAGTCTTTGTCAACGAAGATTCGCTCGACTTCGAAACGGCCGTCGAAAAGGAACCTACACAGATACTCGAAATCAGTCAGACGAGCGAGGTGCAGGAGATACCCGTCAAGAGGGCAAAATTCGGCACTACACGTAGTCTGAGCTTGTTCTTTGAGGATAACTGGAGCAATGGCGAGGAGGATGAGACGCGAATAAGCTATCTGGCGTTCAAGGGCGACTTTATGAAGCTGAACAAGGAGGCTGTTTCTGTGCTGTACGAAGCTGCTGCAAACCCTAACGATCATAAGAATATTGTGGGTATTGGACAGGGCGTGGGAAGGAGTATACAGTGAGCAGGATGGTTGCACTGAGCTACGAGTAGTCGCGTTGGGGGAACTTCACATAGGCATGGCGCATGGCAAGGCGTCATTATCAAGTAGCGTGGGTATGCTACAGAGTGTCGATTCTACGACCTTGACGTATGTACAAACAAATGCATTTCATATTCTGAGAGGTCAGCAAAGGCGCATGGAATGTTTATGTGAGATGACATACTCAGCGTTGTATTTGCGCTTTCGTGGGTATCGTTTCCTCCGTGTATGCATGTATGTCTCTATCCGATCCAAATAGCGCCCGCCATGTGGTTCTGCGCTCAGTCTCTTCTCTGGCGCTTGATGTCGTCCCAAACCGCGGAGATCGTTCGCTCTGGGCGTGCCCTTAAACTCCTTCGCCATTTGCGCATGTCTTTTTCGTATGACATCTTCCGTTCCCGTATCGCTGCCTCTCGCCCGCTCAAGTATGTCTCGTTCCGCCCAGCACCTCGCCATGCACCTTGCCCCAGTCTATCTTCGTGTCAATCTCCTCATCCACTCTACCCACCACCGCCACACTATCACCCCGTATGATGTACAGCCCAAGAGGTACTTCTTCACTGGGTTCTTCGTCTTCTATCGGTCGTATGATGCGCTCGACGGCTTCTTGGAGGACGAGGTTCATGCTGCCGTCGCACGAGTGGAGGAGCCCGACCATGGTGCGGCCATCGAGGGTGAGTACTGATACGCGCTCTGTAGAGTGTTAGGAGAATGATATGGTAAGGGGCTGTGGAGGAGAAACTTGCTGTTTAGGTAGGCGTTTAGTGCCATTGTGAGGATGCTGTTTCAAAAACCGCTGGTTCGGAAATTCGGTGGAAGTGCGTTATTCAGCCGGTATTTGAGAGCGCCTGGGACGTGTTCTTCAAAGTCTTTTTGCGAGAGACGGAAGGATGCTTGCGCAATGTTTCGCGGTATCGTGTATTATGGAAAAGGTTGCGACTTGCTGCGGCGGGCTTATGTCGCGGAGATGTAGACACTCGGACAGACCTCTTCGACCGGTGAGAATCGCGGCGGATAATTGCGGGTTGGGTGAGCGAGAGAAGCAACGTGTTGCTTGCGCGTGACGTGGTTTAGTTTGAACTGGACATGAAGCTCGCGATGCTTTCCGGTGGAGCTTCAGATGGCACGTGCGTCAAGCCAATCAGAGCAGTCTACCCTCCGCATCGCTGCTCTTCTCTCTTCCCTTCCTTTCTCCATCACACTAGCAGATGCCGCGGTCCCTTGTTGCTCTCCATGTGAGCGCTGAATACCTCATCCTTCGGTTTACCCTGCTTCTACTGCTGCTACCCGCAACTCAGCCCGATTTGACCTCAGTATCTGTTCACACAGCGCCACTCTAGCCATTTCGCAACCTTGGACTTGCGAAGAACCACTTCACAAGAAGACTATAGATACTACTCCCAGGATATCCAATAATTGAAGGTCGGCCATCTGCGATGCTCTCGGTGGTTTGAGCGACGTCAACTCCTGCATGAAATGCATGTGCACCGTATGTTTCCAGTGCTGGTGGTCACACATCATCGTAGAATTCACCATCGATCAAGCACAATATGCATGCGAGATGTGCTGGAAAACGGTATTTGGAAGGTTCCCTCCATTGTCTACTGTCCACCGGACATGGCGTCAGGCTGAACTACGAGGTAACTTCTGCAAATGTCGACTTCCAATTATTTGTAGGTCTTGCGTTCCAGGACTCCCAGACGCACTACCTCCCCTCCGACACTCTTACTCAGCCCCATACATTTCTCAGTCTAGCATTGGGTAAGGGTTCTGTTTATGCAGCCTCTGCCTACAATTTCTGGCTATATGCAGCGTCATATCATTGGGTTGCATCGGTCGACTCACACAGCCGACCCATGGTTACGTTGATAAGAAACACCCTCACTGTGTATTCACAAGCGAATTTCGGCTTTTGCACGTAAATACAACAATACATGTTTGATAACATAATCCCCTTTCACACTCCGACATTGCGAAAGCTCTGACAGGTCACCTCAAGAGACTCTACAAATATGTTTTCCTCTACCGCCCGCATCGCGATGCTTCAGGCCCGAAGCTTTCACAAGACTGCCTTGAAGCCCACGTTCACCAATGCTACAGCTTCTGAGATGAAGGAAGGTCATTCCCATCATCGCCACACGCACGATCTAATCGAATGCAAACAGTCTCCCACCACACCATCCGACACCAGCGCCCGAGCAGCATGGCAACGCTACCGCGACGTCGAGGCCCACCAGATATGGCTCTCTTCCCCTCGCAAAGAGTCTTTCCAGACGAAGTTGTCAACAAAGCATCCACATCACCCCGAGCCAACGCCCGCAATGACTTTCCGGAAAGACCGCGAGATGCACATAGCTGCACGTCGCGCGTCGGATGCCGGGATGGAGGGAAAGATTAACCCAGATCACAAGCTTGCGGGGACTCGGCTGGGTTTCATGAAGGAGACGAAAGACACGAAGTCACTGCGCTCAGGTTGGTTGGACGCGCTGTTGGGTCGTGGTGAAAGGACCTGAACTTCACGCTCGACGCGGCAATCGTTTTGTATAGAAAGTTTGAATCATTTTGAGATGGGTGGACCTGAATGCATGTAGATTGCTAGTACCATAACACAGCGACGCGATATGTTGTCGACTTCGCTCCCGTGGCTACGTGTTGGTGTTGTTTCCAGAGTTGCTGGATGGTTCCGAAGCCCGAGGCTTGCCGAATCAGGTGCTGCTTAGTAATCATCAATAGTCTTCGCTTCTCCCTTCGGCACTCCTCGTTCCATCTCCTCATCATCGTCCATCCGTGACATCATCACCCGATTCACATCTGCAGCACGTCTTTGTCGCGTCTTTGCGCATCCATACAGTACGGCTGCCGCCATGATGAAAGCTCTTCCGAAGCCTTGCCATCGCGCTTCACGTGAGTGCATCTTATCGCTTGCTCGCTTCTGGACAATCATTTTCGTGGACCTCGGAACAGTTGTTTACTGAATCGCCATCGCTATTATTTCGCTCAATTTACTCAATGTGCATCTTACTTGAGCTATGCACATGTGCCAGCAACTATCTCCGTCCAAGTCTGGAAACATCGTGGCGATGGCGGTCCGCGCCTTTCAGTAACACTCACTCAATACGCCACGTCGTCCATATTGCTCGGGTGACGGTTCTATCAGTAAGCCCTTTGGTTGTTATTTTGCTTCCTGAGTGGAACGACAAACACTAGGAGGCTGTAATATGTGGTATGATTGTCATCAAGCTACATGATCCTGAAGGTAATCGATATTGACGCTATTTCTGGCCCATCACTGGGCAATTGTCACGCTTGCTTGCTATCACAGGGTTTTTAAGCGAGGGTAGAGACATATGTATGCATGTCTAAGCCTGCATGGAACGCCTTCAAAGAAGCTGTGCGAGGCCGTACAGAGTACGCCACCAAATTCGCCAACAAACAACCGGACCATGAAGGTAACGCCGGTCACGTTTACTTTCTCGATACACTTCGACAGGTAGTCGACATGATTGGAAAGGTTGTTCGATTCCAAGAAACCTCTCTGGATAATTCGGCAAAACGACAAGACACGGTTCTGACCTTGCATAATCTGTTTGACGTCCTCCGGGACGTTGAGCTGACCGATGGTGTACAAGGAACAGCCAACCTAACTACACCTCCCGACGAAGGTCTAGCTTACGGAGCGGCTGCAGCTGTACCATCAGCTCGTTATGAGCCGGCCATCGACTCCGACGAGGAATCACGGTTGCGTTGGCTCTGTTTCAAGGACGACGCTGATTCAATTATATCATGGGTAATCAACCTATGGAAGCAGTACTTTGACCAGTCTGAGGAAGATGTCAGCTTAGAGACTACATCTCTCCTATCAGATCTAGCGCTCGATCTGTTGTATAAGATCGAAGACGACATGGAGCATAACAACGACGAAGTAAACAAAGCCATGTTCAAGGAGCTGGCCTCACTCTACAATTGGAGTTCGACCGCCCTTGCCCTCTTCGATTTCCGCGTCGCTGCATATGAAGGTAGAGGATACCCGGCTGTAGTAAAGCTGGTACACAAGAGACAACCCCAACTAGGACTCGATCCGTACAAGGATTTTATCCTATTTGACGCTAAATTTGTACGCTATCTTACAGAGCTACAGCTGGAGATGGTTAGTCATGACAGACTAATTGAGGGCCCAAACTGACTGTTCTCAGACACTACGTTTTGATGGTTGGGAGCAAAATGGTCCACCGCCCAACACCAAACGTTGCCTCAGTAATGCAAGTCTCGACCTCGTATCCCGCACACTCGCTGTTCCAAGTCGTAGAAACCAGGAAGCCATTGCCGCAAGCCTTCTAGAAGGGATATGGGGTCTACACAGTCCGAACGTGCATGAGCCTTTCCACCGCGTCGCCCGGCTTGCGAACGTCATATCGGATCAGTCCGACCACTGTCGTTCCGATGGTATATCGTTTCCGGAACGTTCCCAAGACAAGATACATGAGTTTAACACCTTGCTCTCGTGGACCATTGAGTGGCCTGGCCATATCCAGCGATATATGATTTTTCGAGCGATCGACTCCAATCACCCTGCCGCAGCCCTCTCTGGATTCCATCGCAACATCTGGAAGTATCTCGATCTCAGTGTTGCCAGGAAAGAACAACTTATCAGGTCATGCGTATCAATTCCCGACCTCGCAGGGACGGCCGAGGCGCGTCTACAATTTGGCGAGGAACATATCATACCATCGGAAGACCAAGACTTCCTGCGCAAAAACAATCCCCTTACACCGGCAAAGCTAGCTCTCAACTTACAGTTCCTACGGGCTGAGATTGGTTTCGATTTCTTGAACGATGATCGCAGCTTGTTCCTCATGTGCCATTTGTATAACGCACTTCGGCAACTAGGCTATCTTGAAGTTCCGTGGAAAACGCTCGACTCACTGATCGACATGCACATCAAGACCATATTCCTTGGTGCACTTCCTACGGAAAGCGCAAAGCAAATGAGCAACCGCGTTCTCATCGCGCTCGGATGCGCGCCAGAACTTGTTCGAGCTCGCAACACTGGGAAAGGTCGGGAGGCAACTATCAAGAACCTGGCGGTATTGCGAGAGAAGAGGTCTGGCGCCCTGTGCTTCCCACCCAGCATGGCTATCGTTGCAGATCATCTGCATGATCGTGAGCCTCTACGCCGCACACTGACGCGTCTCGATGCTGAGATGGTCGCGAAACACTCTAGAGAGAGTAAAAACTCCCGCATCAAATCGTTCCTCGACGAAGAGAATCCTACCACCTTTCTCGAGCGTCTTCGCAACCATGTCTCAGACTTCCCACGGTACCTTGCGCTCGACTGTGTTGAGCTGACACGCATTTGTGGCGGTCTTCTTAGGAGATTTAGGTCAGATGAGATGAAGGTACTCATGAAGCACGCAGAATTGGACGCAGCACACCAGCAATATGTCGCGTCGCTAATCATTCAAGAGCTCGACATGGAAGAGTATATGACACGACCAGGTATGCCTGTACGGAAAGTCGCGCACGCGATAGAAGCCGCGGCTATACTGAAGGAGTACATTGAAGGTGGCGAGGATGCTCGAGCAGCGGTTAAAGACTACGTGCAGCGCAGGTAGTTCTGCTCCGCGATGATGACTCTCATACCGTAAATGTGTACGCGTAATCTCAGAGACATACCCGCCTAGTACCCAGTTCCAGAACCAAATCATTGGCCTTCTCTCTTTCCACAGCTCATAATCCTCTAGCAGTTTTCGTCAAGCTTGTCATAGATTACCTCACGCGCACGAAGCACGCCTGTCACCATACATATACAGTATTTCCCAATGAAGCCTTATTTCATCTCAGTAACCAGTTGTAGAGTTCCCTTAGGCATGCTACATTAAAAGGTCACCACGTCGCCAGCTCGATCTATCCTCCAGGGCTCAGTCCGAGCTAGAGAATGAGCTATACCCAATACGGTAAAGTCACTCGGGGGTCCGCACACTCCTTGAGCGCGTCGCAGCGTCCTCAATCTTTCTTCTCCACAACTTCGATGGCGCTCAGGCTGGAAAACAAGAAGTTCGGTTTCCTTCCAACTAGGTACTGTCACTTCTCTATCAGGCTGGACGAGAATGTGTAAACGTCTTTCAATGCCCGCGGAATCAGCATACGTCCGAATGATGTCACATCGGACGCATTAACCGACGCGGAGGATAGCGCATCAGCACATCATCATGCCATTCGCCCTGTGCTGGCTGAAGGATGTGGGATTGTGCATTTGCTGCTATTATCGTTGCAGCGGGGGACTAAGCACTGCATACCCAAAACAACTCGCACGACCTTGAGCTCGCGGCCCACTGGAATATCGACAACGACCAGCATCTAGGTTTCTATTACATGTTCTGAACACCGAAACTTTTAGTACTGTCGCATCACCTATCGAGTCAGGTATTCTTTCTCCACGTTGGATACCAGCACTCGTCATGTCGTCGACACGCGCCAATGAGCACAACAGCGGGAAACGAAACAGTAACGCATCACAGCTGCCAGTATGGCGCCGAAGACTACGTCGCGTAAAGTTACCGATACTCCCAGTTCACAATCAGGAGGGCAATAGAGATCTCGAAGTCACCACAAGCAAAGGCCACCTCTATTTTCTCGACCAGTTTCGCGACAAGGTACCTCTACGCATTCGCAACCGATTTATTGCAATGATCTCTGAGTTCGTGGGAACATTTTTCTTCATGCTCATCGGACTAGGCGGCAACTCGGCCGTCATCAACAACACAGCGGCTGCTGCACAGTTCAATGGAGGCGATGCTTCAGCAGATCCTGCTAAGATCCTGCTCATCGCTACGGTCTGGGGCGTGGTTGTCACGGTCAATGCCTGGACCTTTTTCAGGATTAGCGGTGGGCTTTTTAACCCTGCTGTAACTATGGCTTTGGTGCTCATCCGCGCCGTACCACCACTTGATGGTCTTCTCGACGTCTTCAGCCAGCTTGCGGCATCTATCTTGGCAAGCGCCATTGCTTATGGACTCCTACCTGAAGGTGCTCTGGCAGCCACTGAGCTGGGAGAGAACACAACAGTCACGCAGGGGCTGTTCATCGAAATGTTCATTACCGCCCAGGTCGTTGTGTCCATATTCATGTTGGCGACGGAAAAGCACAAGGCTACATTCATCGCGCCTGTCGGTATCGGATTAGCTGTATTTGCATGCGTTCTCATGTAAGTCTTCCCTATATTCTCCGCAGCTATTTGTAGTCAACACTACACTATTAGGGCAAGTTACTCACGAACTATAGGGCTTCAACCTACACCGGCGCAGCCATCAACCCAGCTCGCTCTTTTGCGGTCTGTGTGGTGCAGGGAAGCTTTCCACACTACCATTGGATCTATTGGGTTGGTCCCGGGCTGGGTGCACTGCTGGCAACTGCTTTCTACCAATTGATACGCAAGCTGGAGTACTGGACAGTGAATCCCAACGTCGACGACTACGAGACGAAGGTCGGCGAGACCATTCGAGACGTCGCGAGTAGAGTGGCAGACATATCAAATGTTCCAGGCACGAGGTCAAATGATCCGACGAGGATGCCGGAGGGACTGTGATTGTTGGACAGATCCACTGAAATCCAATTTGTTCAACACACAGATTGCATCGGGGCGATTTGTGTCTCTTTTAGTCTTTACATAGAGTACAGGTCATCCGGTACTTCTTTACAGATACGCGTAGATTTGTAATGATATAGCTACCTAGGTACCTAGGTATATAGGAAGCGTCTACAGATAGCAAGAAAGCATTGCGGTATTAGTACGGCCGTAGTGATCAGGTTCAATTGCAATAGAACGATAGCTTTAGTTGTCAGTCCGGTCCTAACTCCAAGAAAGAAACAATGCGGACGCGATAAGGTCGGACATGCTTGATGCACGGGCCATTCGGACCCGCTGGTACCGTAGCGTGCCCGAAACCTGGCAAACCCCAGATGCCATCACCATCCACCAACATGCCCAGGTATGAAGCAATCCCAATCTCTTTGGCGGAATGCCAGGTTCTACACTCTTCACTGACCTTCCTATTCAACATTACTGCGCCGCTTGCAAAGGATGCAGGCAACACGAGGCGCCCACTGCAGACCTTGTTTATCCGAGATGCCGGTTGCTGGTGCCTCTTGGCGGGGACGCAGCGCGCCTTGGGAGGCTTAACACCTGCTCAATGCGGCAACTACGATGCGCATATCAATTAGACTGATAGATGCAGTGGAAGGTAGATAAATAGGTCCGTTGGCTGGCCTGAGCACGACAGGTGCTTCGTTGCATTCGTCTTGAGTTTCTACCCGACGTATCGTTCTTGCTTCTTGCAAGTGCGTCGCCATGCGCTCTTTCGCGATCCTCGCTGCAGCGCTGCCGTTGATTCACGCCATCGACCCTCCTCGCATGCCACACCAACCTCTCGGCAATGGCACAAAGCGTCTGAGTTACAATGAGACCACCAACGCTCCTGGTTCTTTGACGCCCTCAACCCGATCTTTCACGTGGGTTGGCACCGGAGAGGATGGCGATTACATCTACACAGCCGCGTCTGGAGACTTTGTCTTCGAGAACGTCGCCACTGGCGAATCCTCAACTTTCATCTCGGCTGATCAGGTCCCGGCTGACTACTGGGACTACTTCATCTCGCCCGATGCGACCAAAGTCATGTGGGCCGTCAACTACACCAAGCAGTACCGCCACTCTTACTTCGCCGACTACCTGATCATGGATGTTGCGACTGGAGAGTCCGTATCTCTTGACCCCGAGTCCGTCGGCGATATTCAGTACGCTGAATGGAGCCCGGTTTCGTCATCTCAGGTTGCATTCGTCAAGGGCAACAACCTGTACATGTCCACCAACGGCACCATCTCCCAGATTACTGAGGATGGAGGCCCCGACTACTTCAACGCTATTCCTGATTGGGTCTACGAGGAAGAGATCTTTGGCGATCGCTACACTCTGTGGTTCTCTCCAGATGGAACTAGGATTGCTTTCCTCAGCTTCAACGAGACTGGCGTCGGCACATTCAGAATCCCATACTATATTGAAGACGATGCGGAATACGTTCCCGTCTACCCCAACGAATTGGAGCTCCGCTACCCCAAGGTTGGCACCAAGAACCCCACGGTGGTCATGAACTTGCTTGATGTGGAGTCTGGCGAATACACCAATGTCCCCATTGATGCTTTCCCAGAAGACGACCTCGTCATTGGCGAAGTTGTCTGGCTTACCGAGGAGCACAGTAAGGTCATGTACCGCGCTTACAATCGTGTCCAAGACATGGAGAAGCTGGTACTTGTTGATGTTGAAGCTGGGTCTTCCAAGGTCACTCGCGAGCGTGACGGTACCGATGGATGGCTAGAGAACTTGATGCAGGTTCGATACATCGGAGCTGTCGAGACCGCGAACGCCACTTACGGAAACGCTACCGAGTACTACATGGATCTTTCTGATATGAGCGGCTGGGCGCATATCTACCTCTTCCCCGTCAGCGGCGGAGAGCCCATTGCGCTGACATCTGGCGAATGGGAGGTTCTTAGCGTTCTCAAGGTTGACTACTCTCGCGGACTCATCTACTACACCTCCACCGAGCACCACAGTGCTGAGTCCCACATGTACTCTGTCAGCTTTTCCGGCGAGAAGACTGCCCTGGTCGACGATACCGTGACCGCTTTCTGGACCGCATCTTTCTCTTCCGGTGGCTCATACTATGTCTCTCGTTATGCCGGTCCCGACGTGCCATACCAGGAGCTCTACTCCATCAACTCCACCGAGCCAATTCGCACGATCGTCAACAACACTGCGCTTTACGAGAAGCTTCAGGGCTACGCTCTTCCCAACATTACGTACCTTGATATGGAGCATCCTTCCGGATACACTCTTGATGCCATGCTCCGTCTTCCTCCCAACTTTGACCCCAGCAAGAAGTACCCTCTCATCCTCCTTCCGTACGGTGGTCCCAACGCCAAGGAGGTACAAAAGTCCTTCAACGCGCTCAACTGGAAGGCTTACATTGCATCTGATCCCGAGCTCGAGTACGTAACTCTCACCGTCGACAACCGTGGTACCGGTCGTAAGGGTCGTGCTTTCCGATCTCTCGTCACCTCTAACCTCGGTGAACTTGAGGCTGAAGACCAGATCTGGGCTGCCAAGGAGATGGCAAAGAACGAGTGGATCGACAGCGAGCACATTGGTATCTGGGGTTGGTCGTACGGCGGCTACCTCTCCTCCAAGGTCGTTGAGGTCGGCGACCCAATCATTAGCTACGCCATGATCACCGCTCCTGTCAGTGACTGGCGCTTTTACGACTCTCTTTACACCGAGCGCTACATGAAGACTCCCGATATTAACCCCGAAGGCTACAACCGCAGCCGTGTCCACGACGCCACTGGCTTCAAGAAAATCGCTGGTGGTGTCGTCATCCAGCACGGTACCGGTGACGACAACGTACACTTCCAAAACTCGGCTGCGCTCGTCGATCTCCTCATGGTCAACCAGGTCACTCCTGAGAAGATGCAGAACACTTTCTTCACCGACAGTGACCACAGCATCAACTTCCACAACAACGGCAAATTCTTGTACAAGCAGCTGAGCAAGAAGCTTTATGAGGAGAAGGCTCGTAACGGCGACAGCTTTGGCGGACATCAGTGGAGCAAGAGGGCTTTGGGACGGAAGTGGATGGCTTGAAAGCGCTTCTAGTTAAGTCAAAAGTCATGTAATCTTTAGTTCTAACAATGCCATAATGTAATGAACATTCCAAAGTCTACCAACTCTCACTTCACATGTTCTCCTGTCAAGCGATTTTGCCATTACTTACCTTGTTTCGAACAATTATGCCTCTGTCGTAGTCGTCATCATCTCATTCCAGACGAAGCAACACCCCCACCAAATCGACAGCGTACCGTAGAGCGCACGATTTGTAAATATATCAGCGACATGCATTGGCTATGTGCCGCTTCTACGGCTGATGTGTATTTTTTGTGGGTGTTCGCGTATGAATGAATGAGCAAATGTGACAGTTAGCGCTCATTCATAGGACAAACGCGATTTCTGAGAATGCAGTGAAGAATCTAGCACTCGCTGGTCGCATTGCGCGTCTGAGGCCACAATCACTAACAAACAAACCATCGATATAACACGACTTAGAACGACCTATCACCGCCGCCATATCTCCCGAACGCGCGAACAGAACTTTCCCTAGCCAAAAAACATGGCAGACCAGACCCTTCTTACGAGGACGACGCAACGCGAAGACACCCCGAACGACAACTCCCAGAAGTTCCAACACATGAAAACAGTATCCAGTCTTGCAGACGGACACCGCTACGCACTGAAGTACTTCCCCGAAGAGCTGCAAGCCCTGCTGAACATAGCTTCACTCAAGCTCGACGAACGTGTCCCCGGTCACTTCGGCGCGATCTTAGGATGGCAGAAAGATTCCAAAGCGGCGTCTCAACACCCACAGGTGACGATGAAACCCTTAGAAATTCTCTGGGATCTGGAACACCGTACTATAGTACTGTCCGATTCGTTTCCATTTAGTAGGAGTACTTGGAAGGTCGTTGACATTGATGGCGAGGAAGCACTACCAGTATTGCGACGTGGCTACGATCTCGTACCGCCATTCTCCACGATTCTCACAGTAGTTGACCATGAGCACTTGGTCATGCTTGAGGTGTTCTTCCGCTATAGTCTCCTGATGCAAGGCTTCGAAGATGCAATTGAAGGGTTCAAGAACGAGTTCTGGCTTTGCTTCGAGAAGCTTTGTCGCCATGTCGCGGAGCAAGCTTCGGCAGCCGGTGCGCAAGAAAAGGAGGACGATACGGATGTATCCGAGAAGACTGTACCGTCTACACCTGCTCAGACAACAAACGCAAAGCTTGATACCCTCACCAGCGAAGTCGATACCAGCGAGCATGTACACCAAGAAAGCAGTACAGCGCCGGAGACCAAGGAGGAAAAGGTGGAGGCTACCGGTGATGATATTGAGAAACAGCTCGCAAAAGCGCATGAGGAAGCAGCTGGATGGAAAAAGGCCTATGAGGGTGAGAAGAACTTCGTAGCAAAACTAAAGTTTGTGATACGTAAGCACGTGGCAAGATATGATGAGCTTAAAGCCAAGCTCAAAGAGCGAGAAGGGGATGTGGAAGAGTGGAAAGAGGTGTATGAGGCCTTGCTCAAAGAGACCCGAGAGGCTTAAGCTATCTTATCCGCTTACAGACGTAGCTGTTCGCTTAACATGGACATGGGAGAAAGAAAAGGTCGGTCAAGGAACATCACCTGACAAGTAGCATTGAGCACCCATACTCGCTGTAGAGTTCGCATTGATCCCACATCTCGTGATTCTGATATCTATAGCCCTGCAAACATCAAAGCTACTTGAATCACACCTTGACCCCTACTGACCCTCACCTTATCGGGTGACGGGTTTCAATAAGTTTCACTACTTCGATCATTTCCATCATTTGCAAACCGGTGAGGCCTCCAATCGCCTCCACCGCCACTGGGCCTGCTTCTATCACCCCTACCGTATTGTCCTCCATCGCCGCCATTATCGGAGCTCTGATAACTACCTGGACTATTCATTACAGGACTAGAACGCTCTGAGCTCCTACCCCTACCATGTCCACCTCTGCCTTCAAATCCGCCTCTTCCCCTAGGACTAAAAGATCCACGACGACCACCGGGACTCATGTCGACAGGACTAGAAGGCTTCGAACCCCGACCGCTACCGTAGCTGTTCCTGCTGTCAGGTCTACTCCTGTTAGGGTTTGGAAAGTTCCCATGGAAGCCACCTGGACTGAAACCTGCGGAGCTGGGAGATCCTGGGCCTCCACGGCTTTGCGGCCGAGAAAAGCTACCCCGTGCATTAATGTTGCAACCCGTCTCTCTGCAATGCTTAGGCCAGTCTAGATACCGCCTTCCATTGGGCAACTGGATCATCTCGACCGGGACGTCAATGTTGCAGTACTTGCAAAGGGCTGTTACAATTTCAGACGTGGGGGACGGGCCAGCTGGCAGTGACGATGCGCTGATATGCGGGGTAGTCGCGTCTGAAGCATTGTTTCCCACACTAGTATCGATAGTAGGTTGTGGTTTGGGGGCTGGGGAGTCGGGGCTCTCTTGCGCTGGAGAGTTGGTTGATGAGATCGTACTTGGAAGGCTTGCCGTTCTAGCAGCAAATTTCTGGATCTCTGGATCGAACTCTTGTTCTTCGTCATCTGCCCAGCTTTTTCTTGTGGCTGGTCTTCCACTGGCCTCGGCGGCTGGCGCCATGGGAAGTTTCACTACAGGACTCAAGGCTTCATCAACTTCTGCGCTTTCGCCACCGGTCGTCGGTCTCCCCTCTGGGGCTGTAGGAATTTGAGCGGCCACCTCTACCCAGTTATCATCAGGTGCAGTTCCTGACGTGTTCGATTGCTGAGGCGAGGTCGGCAACTTCGTGATATCTGGCTGCGGCTCGTCTCTCTGCTCTGAAGCATCACTAGAATTATTGTTCTGTTGTCCTTCGCCATGCTCCTCAGCTTGATCTTCACTTTCCTTTGCCTGACTGTGCTCTTCCAACGTCGCTTCTAGATCTATCTTTTGCCTCTCCAACGACTCGACTTGGCTCGTGAGACGGCCAAGCTGCTGCTTTTTCTGCACTTCATCCGCTTTCATCGTTTCGATACGAGCCTCGTTCTTTCCGATGTCTTTGGTGAGTACATCGTTTCTGACTTTTAAGTCAGCGCTCTTGAGACTCTCTGCTTTTAGCTTTTCTTTGAGTTCGTCTACGATCGCGCTCTGACCCGCTTCCGACTGTCTTGTGCCCTCATCAAGCCCAGAGAGCCTCTCATTTGCTTCTCTTTGCTGGTCCCGTTCATGCTCAGCTGATGACAGATCATCTCGTAGTCTTTTAACCATAGCCAAATGGTTTTCGACCTCTTGTGTCATCCTTTGCTGATCACTTCGAGCTGATGACAGGCTTGACTCTAATTCACTGACCACCGAAGACAGATGGACGTTCTCTTTTCTCATCTCATCCTGATCGCTCTGCGCCGTTGATAACTTTCTCTCCAATTCTTCGAGTTCCGAGGACACTTGCTTCGTCTCCTCTCTCGCCGTAGCCCGATCTTTTTGAGCCAATGCCAGTCTTTCCTCTAGTCCCTCGATCTCGTTCTCGTAGTTTTTTATCGTTTCCTCCTGCTGCTTCATCGCGGGGTCTCCATTGGCAGCTACGCGCTCCTTTTCTTGCTCAAGGATTCGTGAAGACCGTTCAGTTTGGGCGACCTGAGTTTGAAGCTCTTCATTCTGCATGAGCAGTGTCTTGTACTCGCCACTCTGCTCCTCTCCATGAGACTTGATGGCGCGCTCAAGGTCTTCCTTCAAGCTCACATTGGCCTGCTCTAGCTCGTCCTTTCGTTTGGTAATCTCGCTCATCTTGCTCTCCAGATTCTTTATATGTGATTTGACCGCCACAGGAAGCTCGTTCGCATCCGCCGAGCTTACATCCGTTGTTGGCTGCACAATTGAGGACCTCTTGACATCGTGAGTACCAGCGCCAACGGTTTGGAGATGACCAACACTTTGGCTGAGATCGTTAATACGGTCGCTTATAGTATTGAATCGATCGGTAGCTCCATCTGCCTTCTCGCGAAGCTCGCCGATACTGGCGTTGATGGCGATCAACTGCTGCGGTAACTGTTCGAGAGTAGCGAACCCTTCCTGCAAGGTCCTCATCTGCGCATCGTGCCACTGCTTCTGCAATCCAACGTCACGAACACGGCGAATCCAGTCAAGAAGTAAGGCTCCGGAACCGAATGCAATAAAGACCGCTGCGAGAAAGACAACATCGTCAGGTGTAGTAGGCATCGCGCTGAGCGCACGTCGTGCAAAGGTGTATCTCTCCATGATTGTCGGTTGTGCTTCAAGACTAGCAGAGGTAAAACAGTGTGTCTTCAAAAGTCCGATCATCTACAGGATGTTGAGCGAACATATCGCGTTCGTGTGAAACGAAGGCGCAGCGCAATAGACAAAGGCGAAAGGTTCACAAAGACGCTGCCTGAATAAAGAGGCAAGGAATGCAACCATCCTGCAGTTCTGAAAGAAGACCGGATCGCGATTGCGGGTTTCAGGTTCGTCGACCCGGGGGTCCAGTAGGAGGACTATACTCTTTACCATATGTGAAGTGACGCACGTACGCCTCAAGTAGTCTCCGGTATGTCTGACTTCTCCAGAATCTCGCCCAACAGTTCAACAAACCTAACAGCCATCTTCTTTCCGCCAGCTTCGTTTGGCTCAACCCTCGCTGTATAGTCATCGGCCAGCTTGCCATCGAGCACCTCATACAGCGCGCAAGGCACTATCTCCGTACTCTCGACCCGTATTGCTTTTGTTGCCATTTCGTATATCGCTCGAATAGCGGCTTGTAGCTGTCCCGGGTATGAGTTGTACCCTAGCGCCTTGAGCTGCGCATCGGCCCAACTGGTCTGCCCTAGTCCCGACTCGAGCGGGAAGTATATCATACAGACGATGACGGCGCGAGGCTTGGTTTTGGCGGTAAGACGAGCGACGTAGTCTTGTGTTTTGGTGCCGAACATGTGCTTGAAGTACTGCAGTGCGCTTGCGGTGCCGTTCTCTAGGTTTTTGCGTTGGGTCAGCCAGGCGAGCTGTAGCATATGTCGTATCGTGGAAGGGTTTGGGCGCAGCGCGATGTCGTTGGCACCGACGCTGACGATCAACACGTCGTTCGAACGAATATTATCGCGGATGAACTCGTCGTGCGGTAGGAGTACGTCGTCTCGATCTCGAAGCATGGATTCTTCTACAGCCGTGTTAATACAAGTCGCACGATGCTCGAGCAGGTTGTTCATCCAGAACGCGACATCTGGCTTCGGAACACAATGGTGCTTGAATGCTTTATCGTAGATGCCTGGCAGGTGGGTTGGAACGATAGGGCTAGTCTTGTCAACCCAGTGCTTGTTGTCAAGAGACGAATCCCCAGCCAAATATACGATCGGTTTGTCCGGCCGATCTGCAAGCGTAATGTTGCGGAAAGTGGCTAGGTCGTCGATAGGATGGCCCTTCCACTCGAAGTAAAAGCGGGCGCACTGAATCTGTTCCATGGTAAATGGGGATGAGGATGCCATTGTTCGCGAGATGTAGGCTGTCGTCGGGGAGAACAGGCTCCAGTCGGATGACCTATGGCAGCAACACGCGACGCTGCCACGGCCACAGTCATGTGATGTCGTCTACATATCCGAGGAGGAGCGCAGAGGTTGTATAGACGCGACTTCGCGCGGGGTTGAAAGTAAGCATCTTCGTGATGCGCGTGTGACGATAGACAACGTGGAAGCTACCTAGGTATCCATGGATCGCGTCGAAGATGCGTGGGCGCGCACGGATCCCTGCACTAACGACGTCATATCCGGTAGCTGGCCGGGCAGTGTCCAAATCAGGTAGGTCTTGAAAAGACGTAGCCCTGTAGATTGCGGTGAGCTTTCACGGGCTTGCAGCGTGTCTCGGGAAAGTTGAACGATACTGGTGAATTGGGCGATACGGGCGACTTCCAAGGTTCCGTGGCGGCACGTCGAGCAGTTCAGCATTTCATCACCCATACTTGAATATTTGAGAGCAGCATGTTCACGAACTAAAAATTGATTATTGATCTATTCAGTGAATCGAGGCGACTTGATGAAGAAGGCTATGCCTATGCTACATTGCTGTGCCGAAATGTAGCCAAAAGCTGTTCCTGCATAGCAAACTGCTCGTTTTTGGCAGCGAGCTCGTCGGCCAACGTGCGATGCGCAGGATCCAAGCACTTGGCTTGATTACGGATCTGTGCTTCCAGAGCTTCAGCATGCGCCCGATACTGATGAACGGCCTTGTCTAGCTCGACAGCACGCTTGGTTTTTTCTGCATGGTCCTTCTCGACATCCTCCATAAGGGCTACAAATTGGTTGGCAATCTCTTTGGGCCCTTTGATGTCGACTTTGGAAGTCGAAGACATGGCGCTTTTGACGCGCTGGAACAAAGAGTAGTTGCGCTTGTTGCTTGGTTTGATGTTGATTGTCAAGGCCACATTGGGTAGGTCGGGTGTAGCTCGCGTGTTAGCAGCAGAAGTGGTCATCTTGAATGGTGGGTCGCTGAGGTTGTTAATGGACTTACCAAGATCCTCCAGTCCAGCCAGCATGTCAGGGTTGATTACTGACTTGTTTGCGACAATTGGCGTGCGTGGAGAGGACGAAACATTTTGTAGATCGGAGAGAGTCAGTGTGCATTTATTCCTTGTTTCTTGTTCCTGATCCAGAGCCTTCAGCGTGGATATGACAGACACGAGCTTCGACTCCAATTCGGTACACTCCAGCGAAAGGCTATGATTTTCTGAGGTCAAGCCTTCAACTTCCAGCTCCAGGGCACGCAGCTCGGCTTTGTTGTCTTCAGGAGCGACGGGAGTAATGCAGACATTTGTCAAAGGACCAAAGGAAAGAGATTGGGTTGCCGTGTCGTCGAGATCGATATCATGGAACTCGCTGGAAGCAAAATGCTGTTCGGCGCGTAAATTGCCAATGACTTCTTTGAGATGATTAACTTCGTTGTGGCGTCGCTCATTCTCATCTCTCAGTTCCCAGATACATTCCGAATCCGTAGCCTGGCCATCAGTCAGATCTGCATTAGCCTTCGCAAGATGACGAAATCCTTCTGCTTCTGCTTCGGCGGCAGCCAGTAGTTCGTGAGCATCCACAAGCTGCTGGGATATAAGCTTTTGGTGCTCCACGCAGCCGTGCTCGTGATGCAAATCTGTTGGGCGGCAGTTGGCTAGGGGAGCCTGGGCTTCGCGGTACGCGTTTCCAGGAGGCTTGAGGTTAGATAATCGAGCTTGCAGTTGGTCGATTCTAGTATCCTTGGCACCGAGTTCGGTTTGTAGCTCAGCGATGACGTGTGTTGCTTCTTGGTCCTCCTTGGTACGCTTCTTCGTTGTTTTCCCACAAACAACTTCTTTTTCCATCTCGCGAAGCTTCTGCTCACTGTCTTCTCGCAGTTTGGCCATCTTGACCTCGAGGGCTTTGAAGTCTCTGGACTGTTTATTGGACGCACTGGTCATGTCATAGATCTCATCTTTCTTCTTTGCTACTTCGTTCTTGTAGAATTGGAGTTCGTGAGAAACTTCGTTGCGCATGTTCGTAGCCAGAGCCGAAGAACTTTCAAGTTCGGCGACTCTCGCTCTCAGTTCTGCGACTTCCAAGCCTTGCTCAGAGAGCATGCTATCGTGACGCGAAGCCATGGCGATTTTCTCCTCGGGGTCATTGGGGATGAAAGGCGAAGTCGGCGGTGCTGAGTCTTGGTCAGACATCTCTACGCTGCTCGTACCCAAGCGGAGGCTTTTTGTCGGAAAGTCTAGGTCAATCTAGGGATGCGCACTTTAGTCTAACAGGTCTCGCATTGTAAGTTCAGGCGACCACCATATCGCTTCATTGTACTCGTCACAGGGTACTGGTGCACAGCACAAGAACTCTTCGATCATATCCTCGCGGTATGTTGTAGCAACAATGCAACAGCGAAACTGTCGCTAGAGCCAGACGACCTGTTGCATCACGGGCCGCGGCGATCTTGGTAGCGCTAGGTATCCTCATGCCACTATGGGTCAGAGAACATCATTCGATAGAGGCTGACGCTTCACATAGCCTCAAGACTCCGTGATGATATGCCGCTGTACGTTCGTTGGCGGACATGACCCGGTTCGTTGCATCGATTTGGTGAATGAATCAGAGTTGGGCCATGGAATGCACTTTTGTGCATCTCGCAGCGCACTGCAAATGTTGAAGAACTACAAAGCCAGCAGTCTAGTAGGCGGTGTATACGTGATGCGGCGCTGGGCTGCATCTGCCGTGTTGCCGGCATACCCTTGGCCGCGTCACGTCGCAGGCTGTGGAAAATGAAACCGTGCACCGCCACATATGTTTGACGACGCTGCCCAAACACCGAGCGTGGGACCTTTGTGTTGAAACAAGACGTTCGACGCGTCCGAAAATAAAGCTGTCAAGTTACAGATTATTTTGAGATGAAGGAACGCGAAGATTGATTGTAGTGCGGGGGACAAGGCCAGGACAAAGAGGAGAAGACGCGAGAAGGTTGTGCAACACGTCGCATCGCCAGCGGCACTAAGAGCTGGGATCGCGGCGACTGACCAATCATGGACGCGACATCTGGCTCCCTGATCATGCGCCACTGCGAGTGACGTCGGTTTCAGGGAAATCAAGAAGGGACAAGGTCGTGGCAGCATCATCGCCTGCCAGCCTGTGCGGAGGCATAAAGAACCAGGCCGCCGCTGTGTTGCAGGCCTCATCGAACCTCTCTACACCCAACTGCTGCAAACAACAAATACCATCGACTTTCGGTAGCGAAGATATCTACAGCCACAATCTGCCTACCCGCCCCGTAGCCCCTGCAGCCATCCATCGCGTAGCCGTAGCGCCTCTCCTCTATCAAAATGGTCGCACCCGCTCTTGTCCTAGGCCTGCGCGGCGTACAAGTCGTCTTCAGCATCATCGTGCTGGGTCTTACAGCCTACAGTATGTTGCACACAGACCGCGCGATGCCGTAGCGTTACTAACATGTCTTCAGTTGTCGATGCCTACGTCACCTGGGTGCCGGCGAGCGTCGCCTTCATGCTCTTCACTTCCATCTGGACCCTCCTGGCTGTCGCATATCTCGTCCTAGCACCAGCTCGCTTCCCCGCTGCAGCCCACAAGTTTGCCATTGGCGGAGTTGAGTTCATTACTATGATCTTCTGGTTCGCCGCTTTCGTTGCAGTGGCCACTCGATGGGGCAACAACTGGTGGGCTGGCCGCCAAGGCACTTTCTACAGCTGCGGAGTCGCTGCGATCGTCTTTTCTGCTTTCAACTGGTATGGAACCTCAATTTCACCCGCGACTGTGTACTGACATACCACAGGGTTGCCTTTGTTGCTTCGACCGTGCTTGCGGCGCTGCACATCCGCAGCTCCCCCAGGAATGACACCGCTCCTGCGCCGAACATGGCCGGCGTCTAAACGACGATTCTGTGTCGCGCGATACGGTCCAGACCAGCTGTTGGTCTTATAACTCATGATACCCATATCTTTCCTAATCTTACTCTTGTACACGCGGTTAGAATGTAATGTCCAGCGTGGCGTTCGTGTTATGTACGGTGCCTCCGAACCCCCGATACCACGTTTATGATACATGCTCTTAAAGCGTCCCGAATAATGAGATTCTTGACTTTGATCTACTAGTTGCCGATATCAGCTACAGTTTTGGTGATGATTGCCACGACGGGCCTGCGGCAACCGCGACAGACAGCGCCCCACCTTTAGCGACGCCGCCGGCCACCAACCTGGAGATCATCGACCCTGCTTGGAGCAATCGACGCTTACTGCAGAACTTTGTCAACTCCAGATATTCGCATGTCATCTCACTTAAGCCGTTTTCCTTTTTCGCTGTCTCTCCCAAAGATGCGTCGGCTGCAAACAAGCGGTGCGCTACCCGACGCGAGTCATCATTTCCTCCTCCACGCATCCATGCGAATCAGCAACGAAGCCAGCGCTGGTCGTAGGCCCTTGGCCAATGCCGCATTTACGACTACCACCCGCCAAGTTTCCGGGAAGTCTGACCGACAGTTGAAGCGCGTACCGTGGATGCCGTTCATACTCAGCAACAAGAGGGAATGCCTTGTGGAGATTTCTTACCTTAAGTACCGCTTGGCTGGGATGCGGTACACCCGACTCTTCCTGAGTGTTGTTGGACATTGATGAAGCACCCACCAGGAATCAGGATTACCATGCATTGGGGCTAACCTCCCCCGGGAAGGACTCGGTGGCTGGCCCACTCACTCTATCTGTCTCGCGTGCATGTTCGGAGCAATCCCACGCGCTTCCCGTCGATGAAGTACCCACACACGGACGTATTGCTTCAAGAACATCAAGCTACGGGCTTGGTCTAGTTGGTTGTGGGCTCTATACGAATTTGATTGCCATGCTGACGCCCCTACGCTGTCCCAGGGCGTGCTACTCGTGCATCAGCCCCCGCCTGTCGCTTCGGTAGCTACGACACGAGCATTTGCCGCGTTCAAGCCATCGCTACGGCTTAATCCTCCTGATATTCGCACTTAGTGCGTGCGCCTCTGGATGATCATGAGCCGATGCTGGATGCTTGTATCATTGAACTGGACAGAATCCTCAAGTCCTGACAATACTACTGTCCTCTCCAGGGCGGGATCTGACAAGCAAATCATCACACGTCTCATCAATTTGTAGTTGGACCCTAAATCCGTTTGTGCCTTGCGAGATTGACCGTTAATTCGCCATAGGACAAGATCCACGGTGTCGGGTCAACATTTCTTGTCCGTGCCGTCGGAAGAGCACGACTAGGCGCTGCCTCGCTAAAAGTGCCACTGCAACTTCGAAGTGCAACACGAGAGCAGGTCACGTACCAGCCAACAGGTTAAACACAGGCTCGAAAAATGCACTTGCAAGCAGCAAGGCGTTCGTTCGGGCTCTTCTGAGCTTTGTTCGGGATGATTAACACCCGATAATTGGAGGAACAAGCCCAATTTAACCGGCTGCCAAGGTATGCAGCTAACGCGCCGCGACGCTTACCCAATATAAGATGCAGGTTCGGTATTACGGTCGTGTTCTCCGCCTTAGCCCAGGTAGGCTACGGAGCATCTGGGGTAAAGAGCCGGGGTAGTGGACCGCCCTTGGGCCACGCCGTATTATAAAGGGTAAACCCCAATCTGCTCGAGCACCAGCAGCCTCCAGCGCTTCCAACACCGGCATCATGGGTCTCCTCAAAGCTCAGGATGGTACTTCCGACCCCATCATCACCCGCATGGTGGAGCAGGACAAGGTGCGATGGTGGAAGAAACCGAATCTGCGCATCATGTACATCTGGCTCTTCTGCTGCTGCATGGGTGTTGAGATTACCTCTGGTTTCGACTCTCAGCTTATCGGCACACTTCAGTTTTCCGTTCCATTCAACACATGTAGGTCAAAACTGTTGCAGCTTTAGATCCACAAGGCTCACAGTCTCAGATTTCGGAGAAGGCTACAAGGACTCAGATGGCGAAGCCAGCATCGAACCCAAAATCATCGGTTTTATGTCCTCATGCTACCAGCTCGGTTCCATTCTTGCAGTTCCGGTCGCACCCTGGTTGAGCCAAAAGTACGGTAGACGCATGTCTATCTTCGTTGGTTCCGTCATTATGGTCATCGGCGCTTTGTTGCAAGGTTTTGCTCAGCACAGTACGTACACAACCCATCCACATACACAGTCGCGGCGTATCTAACGCATTATCAGTTGGGATGTACATCATCGCACGTATGCTGCTTGGTTTCGGTATCCTCTTCGCCATCGTCTCCGGTTCTTCCCTGATCGGAGAGTTGGCTTACCCCAAGGAACGCCCATTCATGACCTCGCTCTTCAACGCATCTTACTTCATCGGATCCATCCTTGCCGCTGCCATCTCAATCAAGACAACGGAGATGGTTGGAAACTGGGGCTGGCGAGCACCATCTCTGCTGCAGATCTGCCCGTCCATCCTCCAGATTTGTACTGTTTTGTACGTTCCTCCGAACGAGTTTAGAGCTCCACACTGACTTTACTAGCTTGCTGCCTGAGAGCCCACGTTGGCTTGTCAGCCGTGATCGCGACGATGAAGCTTTCGCCGTTTTGACCAAATACCATGCCGAAGGCGACGCTAACTCCATCCTCGTACAAGCCGAGATGGCCCAGATCCGATCCACAATCAAACTCGAGATGGAGAACTCAAGCCGCTCGTGGATGGACATGGTTCGTACACCTGGTATGCGACGCCGTGTCTTCATCTCTTGCTTCCTCGGTCTCTTCACCCAGATGAGCGGAAACACTTTAATCTCGTACTACCAAAATCTTCTATTCAAGATGATGGGATACACCACCAAGTACGCCAAGACGCGCATCAACATTGCCAACCAATGCTGGAGTTTGATCAACGGTGTCACTATCGCTCTCATCGTCACTCGATTCCGCCGTCGCTGGATGTTCATGCTTTCCGCTGGATCCATGACCATGGTCTTCATGGCCATGACCATAGCTTTCCAGCGTCTCCAAGTCGCCGATGCCAACGGCACCAAGAACCAGGCTGCGCAAATCGCCTCGCTCGTCTTCTTCTTCGCATACTCGCCCTGCTACAACATCGGTAACAACTCGCTCACATACACCTACCTCGTCGAACTCTTCCCCTACGCCCAGCGTACCATGGGTATCGGTGTCGAGCAAATGTTCGGCAAGCTCGCCGGATTCTTCTCTGTCTACGTCAACCCTATCGCTCTTGACGCGATTCAGTGGAAGTACTTCGCTATCTACTGCGGATGGATTACATTCGAGTTCTGCTTCGTGTACCTCATGTACCCTGAGACGTACAACCGCACGCTCGAGGAGCTTGCTTTCCGTAAGTACATAGCGGAGATGACTTGTATTGAGCTACCACTAACTTTTTCCCAGTGTTCGAAGACAAGGAGTTTGCCGACGAGGCTGTCAGGGCTGTCGAGAAGACCGTCAACCACGGCCACGACGACGGAACGGTTACCGAGCACGGCAAGATGGAGACTACTACCATCGAGCGCACTGCTTAGGCCGCGTCTTGTCAATATTCTGTCAGTTTCCATCACTCTTTGCTACATAGAGTACGCGCCCGAAGCTATTGTTGCTTCGGTGAATCTAAATAAGTTTCGCGTCAACGATTATACCACCTACCTAATGTTCATGTGCATCCGTTTCTTTGGTGATTGATTTTCTCAAAGAGTGCGTCCATTTAATCATCACCAAAGGTCAAAGAATGGTAATACGCTAATATCGGCAATGCGATGGTCGCAACAAGCATACCAAGGTTGGCGGCTGTGCTCAGGTCTTGACGCTACGACACTTCGATTCGCCGCGCCACGACAAGCGCAACCAAGCCCACGCTACCCGTCATCCCAATCTTCAACGTCGTCATTACTGCCGTATCTATTTTCTGTACTTGCCAGAGTTGCTCCTGTTGTTTTCTTCGGGCACTACAGCAAGCGCATCAGGGGTGAAAGCATGTATACCTGGATTAGTCGGGTGGTAGAGCGTCGTCACGTGACGCTAAGGTTATGGACAATGCCCCACGTGGCATTGCTACGTCGTTCTGGAAATCGCGTCGTAATTTGAGCTACCAAAGCATTTAGTATTCCACATGTCAGTCTCAGCTTTTCTGTTCTCTCCTAGGCCGCGCCTCGTACATTACTCTCCCGCTCGATGAGTACAACGTCGTCGTCATGACCAGCTAGTTCTCTTTTGCCAATCTCTAGATGCGCTTTCTCTGGGTCGACAGTTCCTCCTCTGAACTCAATGCCTTTCCCCCTCCTTTCACTGTAGTGCATATTTTGTATCTCTCGTTCTCCAAGAACCTCGATGTCTTCAGACTTGCGCCGTTGAGTGGAATGCGTAGTTCGCGCAGACGGCTTCATTTGGGTCTTGGTGAAAGGTTTACCTGGGGCTTTCTCTGCTACAGCGATGGCACTCGCTTCGTCGGTACGCGTCGATATCTTTGCGCGGGAATCAGTCGGTCTTTCAGACTGGGCTACATCAGATGCGTCTAATTCTTGGCCCACTTCAGATTCGTCGTCGTCAGTGCTCTCATCGTCATGGTTTTCTTCTTTGGAAGTCGCGTCGTCCGTATCACCTTCACTGGCACTCGCCAAATTGCTAGTAGCACCGTAGAGCTCGTGTTCTACTGCCCTGAACTCTATCTTCATCCTGTGAAAGTACCATCGATTCGCATCGGCGTCGTGCTTTCTATCGATCCTTGTTTTCCAGTCCACCATCGCATTACGGAATTTTGTGTAAACAGTACGGGTGCGGTCTACGATGGGTTCGGTATTCTCGAGAGCGTATAGGGGTTGCGCAACGGTCTCTCTGATTGGTTTGGTAGTGCATTTGCTGTGGTAAAGATTGAAAGCTTCTATATCTCGTCTAAAGTCAATCGGTCGGGTGGGTTGCGTGAAGGTAGCCATCTGAGCACGTTTGGATAGATGTTACACCTCTTCAATAAAGTTACGGGAACTGTTGATCTAAAGAAACAAGGTTATGTATGAGGGTAAGGCCAATATGTTTGCTGCTTGCAAGACTTCCAAGGTTGTCAAAGCCGCACATACAGTGAACAATGAGCTCATCAAAGTTCAGTACGTAGCGTGCCTAAATGTCGCAATCAACTAGCAGAATGACGGTTCATTCTATATGGTACTGATAGGAAGATACGTAAGGAAACGATGTAGCGATGAGCCCAGACCGAGCAGCACAGAATGCAAACGAAACTGGCGGTTACCATGGGGACGTGCCCAGGTGAAGAGAGAGAACTCTGCCTTTGCGACTTGCGCGTCGTCAAGCGACCTCCACAACAACCTCACGCCTGCCTCAAAATTTCTTGAAATTTTTGTGGCTCACATACTGATCCGATACTCTCCTCCAGATACTCGTCTCGCCGATCCAATATCATCATGATGGATCTAGCATCCCAACTTCACGAGCAGTTCCGCCTCAGCGGAGGGCAGTCGTTTCTGGCCCAGAACGAGATCGAGGCCACCTTCGCGGTGTTGTACGGTGCGCATTCTCTGAGTATTCGACGTTTGCCTTGTCTGCACACTAACATCAAGTTCCAGGCGAGTCCACCGAGAAGGACCAAAGCGACTTCGACCTGCTGTTCCGCGGTCTGAACCAGGACATCTGGGACCTGCAGCACGAGCTGTCGGTGAACACAGTCGGGTGGTGGTGGGCCGGGGTCGCAGCATCCCGTCTGTACGACCGCCTGAACGGGTTCATGGACAAGAGGGTCAGGGCATTGGCGAACGGCAGCCCCATCCTCGTCAAGGGCTTGCCTCCGACCATGCCAGGTCCGATGCTGTCGAAGTGGGCGAGCGACTACGTCGCCAACTCCCGTGCACCCTCCGCGCCTCTTTCCGCAACACCTTTGGGAAGCAGGAGAATCGCTGGGGAGACGAAGACTGCTCGCCGGGCACGCACCCGTCGTGAAAAGCGACAGCGTGAGGAAGCCGCTCTGGCCCAGGCTGGTGCGTAGTACGCTGGTGGGTGGCATTGGCGACTACATGTCGGCCTCAGGATCAGGATACTCAAGCTGTGTAGACGATAAGTACACTACGTAGTCCTATACCATACCCGGACTTACCTCACTGTCCAAGGTCAAGCATTGTCATGTGCTTCCCTATCTTTCCTTGCTTTTCTCAATCTGATGTACTCCTCGAGTGTAATCTTCCGCACAGCTGGAATAGTTACATCCTCAGTGGCAGTAATATTCGTCGCACCAACATTGCTACCTGGCGCTGACTTCATAGCAATACTCGCAGATGTCATATCGTGGCGCGTTGATGTCGTATCCGAGGTTGGTCCTGCAGTGATCGTCCGCTCACCGTCGCTGTCATGGATTATAACAGGTCCGCTCATATTGAGGGGGATTTCTGTTGCATGAGCCTTTGTAGAGAACAAAACCAGTCGTCTCAATGTTAGCATGGTCCTCGCTACCTCTTGCTCAGGCTCGGTGTGACGTTCGCCTGTTCGATCAGGCCTACCAATGCGGTGGTCAACCCATCCCATGCGATTTAAGCTTTGATGAGGCCTGGTAGTAGCAGCGGTGTCTTGCTGGAAGCGATTTGAGATCGTGATAGTGGGAGTATTTCGTGGATTATCCGACATCTCGCCCGCTTTGTAGATTGGATGGAAGAGTTCTATGGTTCATTGACGGCTAGCCGAATCAAAGTAATGGAGAGAATACGGCTGTTCAAGCCACTATATTACAAAGTCTGTCTCGGCTTACGACGGGCTATATTCTCCCTACCGTTAGGCAGATCACTAAATCGGCGTGAATGAGATAGGTGGCCGCCTAATTTGCAGTGCGTGAATTGAGTCACTGTTTACTAGATTCCAAAGGTGTGTACATAACAACTTCTCTAGCAGTACTTGATCATCTTGTCGTCTCCCAAAGAGGTCTACTACTCCCATTCTTCAATACCCCAGAGCTCGCTCCACATATCCTCTTGCTCCATAGCCATCTCTACGTCTTGCTGTGTTCGCGCATGTTCGAGTTCCATTTCTCTGACCCTATCGTTTGCAGCATTCTCCTTCGGCCTACTACCAAAACCTTTGTAGCTCTTATGGCCGAAAGTCTTCTCACCAGCAAGATCAGCCGGAAAGGCCTTAGGACGACTCGGAGGCTTCAGAAGTGCGTCAAGTTCTTTAGCTTGAAGTCCGGAAGGGCTGTCGTACTTAAACTTGAAGTCGTTTGCCGCGGATGGCATGAAACCTTCGCCCTCATCCAGTTTCAAGGGCTCAGGTGCTGGTTGCTCAGATTCGATGGTCTTTGAGCACAAATCTTTACTTCCGGGAGTGTGTTGTACAAGCAACGACGACGCTGAGGTGCATTATATACTCCGCCTCTGACTCACACAGTTGCTGTGTGCGCGAAGTCGTACCCTGGAACCGTCACCTCCATCCTATAGTACACTTGATGACTTATCGCAACGAGCGACTTACAACTTCTGAAATCCATATGCACCTATACAATCAGGTCCTTTCGAAAAGAGAAGTATCGTCAACACAAGAGCTTACTTCCGGGAGCAGCGGAAGTCTTATTTCGTGTCGAACGACGAAGGGGTGGATCCTCGCGCGTGTCCTCTTTATTAGCCGAGTGGGTCGACTCCAAAGTCCTTCCAGAAGCGGACTGATTCGTGAGCCTCCGGACAAAATCCATGCTCTCAGGATCAGCAGTGATGTCACTGTTTGCCATCTCCCTTAGGATGAATGCAGCAGTGAAGTCATCGTTATCCACATCGTGAACAAGCGTGCTGCGCATAGCGCTTTCATGCTCACCTTGAACAGGGGGTATTTAGCCTTCCTGTCGTTCGAGCTTGGCTAAATATAGGAGTTGCCGTTGACATTCGAGGTCCTTAGCTTGCCCAAGATCGAAAGCATCCAATGGTTCGTCAGTATCCAGCGATTGCGCTAGGCTGTCTACTTCCTTTACAACCAATATTCTGTCGTTTGTAATTCTTAATCTTGGCAGCTTCAGAGCAGGGTGTTGTCCATGGAGTCGAGGTAATGCTTCCTGCGCTTTCTGCGAAGTCAGGAGACGCCTGGACTTTGAGGGCCTCTTCCGTGTCTGCTTTACTAGGCGTTTCTGGGTGGGCGTTGCGGAGTCTTGTACCAGAGATTCAGCCAGAGCAGCCTCCAGCTGTTCCTCTTCGGTTAAAACTTGATCCCGAGAAACGTTATCCAGATTGCGCGTAGTACGTCAGACCCATGTGTAAGTTCCAACATGGCCGCTTCCAGATCTCTTTACACGTTGTGAAATATGAGTCGTGGACGTATTTGAAGGACTGACATCCTGTCGTTCGGGTAAAGCGACCCTTTCTCCCGCAGGAGCCACCTCTACTATCGATCTCGAAGCCGGATGGCCTGGTTCGGTCTGGTTGTTTGCCCTTTCCTTTATAGCTCGCCATAGCGAAGTACCTTCTATGAGACGGGGCATGTTTGGTCAGTAGTTGTGCGTTCTTACTAAGAAACCAGAGTTTAGAATATGGACTCCGGGCTTTTCAGGACAAGTGGTATGGGAATGCATTCACATGCGTACATACTCTGTAATTGCACAGTGCTAACCCCTAGGGCAACAATTGGTGTGAAACAGCTTGAGATGTACGTTAGTTGCCCAGTATAAGCCCAGTCGCATTAACGCTTACTATGAATTGAAGGAATTGTCGGAATCAGGATACAAGAGGACCTGCGAGTAAATCTCAACCCGATATTAGACTTTCATCTATTTCACTGCAGAGGCCTGTTTACCCAAATAATCCCTCAGCAAGTGGAGGTCCTGGATGACTGTCTTTGCTGCTAGTAATCATTAATCGTGATCGTTCCCATCACGATCACCGACTCTCCACTCAGTCCTCCAGGCTCCGCCCAATCTTGATCTTTCCAAGACCTCGGCTCCCCTTGCATAGTTCGCTCTTTCTGAATAGCCCTCTCAGGAAACGAGTCGGGCCATCCGTCTTTGCGCCAATGCTGTAATCTCCAAGTCGAGTGATAGCTGTATGGATCGTCGTGCCATTCGATGCGAGGCTCTGCATATTGAGGGTCGATGGGTGAGAGTTGTTGCTTGTTCTGGAACACAGAAGCAGAGGGTTGCGCTTTGGTGATCCCTAAGATCACCCTGATCTTGTAGTCGGCCTCCGTAGTTACTTCCAGGCGGTTGGCTTCGCGGATCTTTTCGATGGCTTCGTCGAATACGGCAAGAGTACTGCTGCGGTCTTTTGGTGAGCAGATATCGCTGTCGTGATCGTTTGGTATCTTTTTGGTGAATCTCAGTCGTTTCTCGCGGAGACCACTGGCTATGGTGGTAACAGGGTCGTCTTCTAGAGGGCCTTGATACTGGAAGTCGCTCATAGAGAGGCCGGTTTTCCTGGTCGGTGGGGGATTTGGTGGAGTACGGCGACCACCTGAATCATGTGGGACGCTGAACGCTTTGGGCATTAGGGATGTATTATGGCAAAGCAATCTTAGAAGTAGAAGAGACAGAAGAGGGTGGTAATAGGTGCGGGTTTTGAGACACAGCTAGGCAACAAGACTTTATAGGGTCAGAGTGGTATTAGATTGTGATCGCGTGCGATTCTTGATGAACGTGACTGCAGAACAAACGTGCGGTACTGGGATATGATCATGAGAGAAGTGAAGCTTTCTCATGTTCAACGATTGTCGCAGTTTTGGGGTAAGAACAGACACCGACACTCACTGCCCGTTACGAACCTCTCAGGTCTTTATGACGTCAGGTCCGTTCCCAGAGCGGAAGTTGGACTCGTTGTCTCCTGCCCATAGTCCACCTCTTTAGCAGGTACTCAGTCCCACTTGAAGAACTTCTCGTCATCGTTGACCTTGCGCATGAACTTTCTATGAGGATATTAGGATCGCTCGTTTGGACCAATACTGCGCACTTACTGCCTCTTGCTCAGCTTCCGAGCTCTGTTTGCAACAGAGCCCGTCAGGGCAGATCGCCTGACAGCATTTCTGCTGAAGATCATGACGAGTATCTGCTTGTCGTTCCTCTCTCCGGCCATCTTCTGATCGCTGGTGCTTTCTGTCTTCTCGCGGAACCCAGAGCTCTTGTAGTAAGCCTTTGTGCCAGGCTTGTTGACCGAGCCGTCATCGAAGCGGAGGTCGGCGGCTTTGAAGGTTTTCGCATCCCTGCCGTAGTGTTTGATGGGATTTGCCTGAGCAGGCGAAAGCGGAGACGAAACGGCGAGCGAAGGCGCTCGGATTGGAAGTGCCACGGGGCCTTGACCTAGACCTGTGACATTGATGTCAGCATCAGTAGCTGCTGTGGCACGAGTCATGGTGATGTTGAGGAGAAGAGGTTCTGGCGGCGTTGGGGTTGAAGAGGATGCAGGGTGTTGAGATCGCGAGAGACTTAACGATGTATGAGAAAGTCGAGTGAACGGTGACGAAAATCTCTCTGCCGGTGAAAGGTGCTCGTCCAAATCAGGCCTACATACAGACCCTCTTTCACAGCCATGCACTTACGAAGGAACCGCGACACCCGTACACTGTGTATTTATATCGCATCCTCGATCTATCTTGGAAGCTCAAGCTTGACCCAACATGACTTCTTCATTATGTACACCTGTCTTCAGCAGGCTACACCTAGCGCTTCCATCGCCATGCCTCTTACATGAATCAACTTGTCTAGTTATATAGACCCGAGTCGCTCTAGTCGAGATGTGGTGTTGTAGTCTCTTTCAATTCCTCCTCATTGTCGCTGTTCACGTCTTCGTTTTCTTGAGAAGCGCTGACGTTCTATACAATGTTAGCGTAGCGCGGATGACATCAAAAGATGCAACGTACACTTCTTTGCGGGGCGGAGGATACGAGACCGCTGGTCGTTGACGGTGGCGGCGGAGGCGGAGAGGGTGGAACAGACACGGCGGCAGACGTTCCGATCAATGGTTGATTACGCTGCGAAGAGATGGCGCTAAGGGGAGGTGGCCGCCCAATACCCTTTGAACTCAGTTAGCTGGGTGCTCTCATATCCATTTGTGAGAAGATACTGACTTGTTGTCCACCTTGGAGCACTGCTTGGACGCTTAGATACGTAGTTAAAGTCGTGGCAAAGGCGCTCTCGATCTCTTTCGCAAGACTCTGTGGATCACCTTGTCGCGCTTGGCTCTTGTTAATGATATCTTGCAGGGCTATGGTGATAGCGTTAAGGGCTCCACGAGCCGACTGCTCGACGAGGGCATAGTCTTTGTTCTTGTCGTGCGCTACCTACTGCGTTAGATCGCGTCTTGCAGAGGTTATTCGATTACTTACCGAAGCCGTATATAGAAGTGAGCTCAGCTTCGTCGACATTTGGAGTGTTGTTTGCTCCAGGCGCGCCGTTGTCTGCAGCCTTGGAATGTTTGTCGGGGTTGCTGCCGTCTTCGGGCTCGACGTTTCCTTCAGGCTCACCATTTTCCGATTCTTCGTCGTCGTCCTCTTCGTTCTGTGATCCTTGCTCGCTGACGAACTCCTCATCAAAGCCCTCGTCCTCATCGCTGTCATCAGGGGATGGGTCCTCCGCCTGGGTATCGTAGGCATTATCGGTTGCCAGATATTCGTTTCGCCAGTCTTGCCATTCTTGATGGGAACTGAACCCTTCCTCCTGCCATTCTGGACGCTCTTCTTGGCGATTTGTCGACTCCGGGTTCTGGTCTGACATCTTGAGTAGACTCGAGAAACTGACAGATGGCCCGGGTTGAAGATCTAGTTGAATTGTTTCGAGAGGTTGTTATATAAAGGAGAGCGTGACATTAACAACTATGTTTACTTGCGTGGCGCGATGTTCCAATCTGCAATTGGGCAATATGCGCAACTAATCGCTGTGTCACACCATATTAGATCGAAGGCCGCCAATAGTTCAAGGTAGTGAAATCGCAGAGAGGTCAATGAACAACCCAGTACTCAACCCCCTTTTAGTATAACTGTGTGGCCCACGAGAGAAATGCCTGGAAATGCCTGGTTGGAGGGCTTATAACCACCTTGAAGATTGGCTCGCGGTTTGCTACATGGGAGTGGATCGTCGAGTAAACACTGACACTTCCACAGCAAGCAGATACTGTGTGCCTGCCGCGGAAAACAGCAATCGGTTAAGCGGTCGCACCATTGAGTGACTTTCTGACCATTTTGGCATTTGCTTTTCCTGATATATCGTATTGACGTAGGCGGACGTATACATCTGCTTGATGGTTTGCCTGATCGAGGTGAGTGGCTACGAGGTCAGCATCGGTTCCTTCCATATGATCACCACCTGTTGCATCGCGTCTGAAATTCATCACTGCTTGGGACTTTATTTTCTTCAAGACTCCACAAGATCTTCCATCATTCACTTTATAGAGACCACCGAACAGGTCCAGGTGAGGGGAAGGTGCTCGCTTCGGTGTTATCGGATATACGGGCCAGCTGCTGTGAGCGTACCGTACACGCATCGTGACCGCGGAATCATCGCCAGTTCGGGCTGCAGAAGCTATACTGAGTACCGGAGCTGATGGAATGTGACGAGGAAGAGAGGGATCGTAGACGCCGGGAGTGTAGCGGCGATCTGCTAATCGTCGGAGATTGCCGGCTGTTGCTCCGATGCATCGCCAAGAGGGCAGGAACGCCTCATGCGGCCTCTCTCGCCGTTGTGCTATGTGGTTCGCGTCTTGGAGTGCGAATGTCTTGTCGATGGTGTAAATACTGGTCTGAAAGCCATGCGACACCGATGCCCCCGCGACGCGTGTCCCTCAGCAATACGAGGCCGCGCCACACCAGGCCTGTTCCACGCGTCTCGGTCGGGCCTAGGCTCCCCTGAATGCGGGCGGACGTTCGCAACGCGCTTTTTCTCAAACATCGATCGGGCCATTGCGATGGGGTGAAACACGTTTTGGGCATCTTCGATCTTGATCTCTGTACTCTCCTTTAGCTACTAATCCGACAGATGCCACACAGCAAACGCTAGCGACCATGTCGTCCTACCGGAAGCACATGCCGCGCCCGGCCCGCCTCGTCTTCAGCGTCATCCTCATATATGCCTTCTTCTGGGTCAAGGGCTGGCCTCGCACCTACGACGACGAAGAGCTCCCGCCGAGCAAGCGCCCGCAGCAAGAGTCCAACCTCGGCCCGCACCAGGTCGACCATGACCAGCTCGTCGTCGCCGTCACCACGACCGCAAACGACGTCTACAACAAAGTCACGCCCCTCATCCTCAACACCAACGAACAAGACCACGGCACGCTCCTGCTGTTTTCGGACCTACAAACGCAGATCGGAAGATGGCCCGTCTTCGACGTCATCTGGCGCTACAAATCCGACTTCATACAAAAGACGAAGCAGCTGGAGCGATACCGCGCTCAGGTCGACTATGCGCGGAGGAGCATACCCCTAGCCAAGTTGAAGAAGGACGACCCAGAAGAAGAGAAGAGGGAAATGGAGATCCTGGACAAGTACAAGATACTGGAGACAATGGCGTCTGCGTGGGAGTACAGGCCAGACCGCAGCTGGTATGTCTTCGCTGGCGATGAGACGTACGTCAACAGGCCAAACCTTCTCGATTGGCTGAGTCAACACGACCCAGACGCAAAGCACTTCTTTGGAAACCCACCCGCCCCGGCGACGGCGCGCGTCCCCGATCCCTTCGCCGCCGGAGGCACGTCGTTCATCCTCTCGCGAGGAGTGATGCTGGAGCTTTTCAAGAAGCGCAAAGACTTTATCCAGAACTGGCGGGAGCAGATCGCGGACCACACGACAGCGTTTGATCTCGTCGCCAGCGCGCTGCAGGCCGAGGTGAAAATCACCTTTACCACAGTCTGGCCCAGCATCTCTGGATTCGACCCAAGCACGGTGCCTTTCTCGCCTGCCATATGGTGTGAGCCTATCTTGTTGATGCACCACATCACACCGGACATCGGCAGCGATCTGCTCAGATTGGAGAAGGACCGACCCTCGGACCAGCCCACCCTGCGCTTTGCAGATCTGTGGTATCGCTTCATGACCCCGGAAGATTTGAACTATACACGCAATGACTGGGACAATCTGTCCTCCGAATCCTCGAACAACCGATGGAACATCCTTTTCCAAGGCGGCGAACATCAGGACGCGGATCGCGCTGGGAACGGAGAAGCGTCGCCAGAGGCATGCCAAGAGTCCTGCGACAACAGCAAATACTGCGTCCAGTGGTCCTACTCCTCGGTTAATCAGAGGAATTGGAACGAGAACCCGCCGACTAAGTGTCACCTTAGCAGCAGCATACGCTTTGGGACACATAAGGAGCCACAAAAATTAAATATCGATGGAGAAAGGGTCACACTCACCTGGAAAAGCGGATGGAAGAAGGACAAGTTCAGTAAATGGACCAAGCAGCAAAGGTGCAAGGAGCAACAGCAGTAGCTCCGTAGTCTCGTCGTTTTTAGCGTTCTAGCGGTATTCTTATCTCTCAAATCTCAGCCCGGCTGTGTTCCTATCTCCAGTGCTTCTTGTAGTTTGGCCAAGCCCGCTTCAGTTCCGCCTCAATCCGCTCACCCCAGCTCTCCTGCCTGGTCTTGACTACGATCAGGAGCCGTTGCAGGATGTGTGCAACCTTGACTTCATCGACCCCAGCACCCAGGCCCCTCATCACCGCGCCCACCGTGACGTCCGTCTCGTCTCCAGAACCCACGTTGTCTTCGACGTCGCCATCGTGCGAACTCAAGGCCTTTCCGACGTTCCTCTCCACCTCCTCACCCAGTCCCGAAACCACAGGCTCATCATCCAGGACCCCAAGGCCCAGACCAACTTTCCTCGAAGCCATTTCCAGATCTTGGAACCAACCCTTCTTCGCATTCACCACTTCTGCATACCCGGCGGCAACGAAGTAGAATCCGCACAGCGCCTTCAAATTATGCAGACCTGGGCGCTCGACATTTTCTTGCAGATGCGTCCAAATGCTTGTCAGGGCGAGGCGCTCGTTATCGCGTCGCGAGAGGCCGATGCTGCGGCGGAAGAGCTGGATGTTGCCCTCGCTTGTCATATATGCCGAGACTTTGTGTGTGAGGCCGTCGACGACAATGTGGCCGAGGAAGAGGGGGTGCGAGGAGAAGCCGACACGGTCGTAGTCAGGCCGCTCCCAGGGCATGTCGTCGACATCGAGGAGCGCGTTGTAGACTTCAGGGAAGCTTTCTTCCGCGATCTTGACGATCTCGTCGTAGATGTAGGCGCCCGGGGGCTGTGTTTTCGCGCTTGTGGCCATCGCGGAAGGTATGTAGCTGGTAAAAGGATGGCAGAAGCTGAGGTTAAAGGTCAAAAACAATAGAGCTAGTAAATCTCAATTGGTAGTCACGGTGAGTTGCGTTTGCAGTGTGACATCATTACCGCATTTGGTCCAAAAAGTGAAGGTGAAAGTGCATTCTGGGGAGCAAAAAAGAGCAAAAAAGAGCAAAAAGTTAAACCTAGTGGAAGTATCTCCATAAGACCGCACTTTAGGGGTATCGAACTGCAAGCCGATAGAGAGCTTTTGTAATCAATGGTAGTATCGCCATAGACGGCTCACTCTCAGCTATGTGTGCTGTTCGATGGGAGATTTCAAATTTAAATTGTATATATAACTATTTCAATAGCCAGAAGCTAATAGGAATGGTAGTTCAAATGCCTGAGCCTCATACGCTGTCGCAATAAACGCGTAAATACACCACCACTAGATAGGACGTCATTCGAGAATGCCATAGGAGGTGTCGCACGCGAGTACTCCAGTGCACGTGCACGTGTTCACGCTAGCGGCACTGGACCGCCTGATCCTTCCCGGAACAAGCAACGCTCCTGCGACCTGCATCTCCTTAGCCTTATCATCAATACCCCGTCCATTGCGATATATCTTGCTGTAGTCCAGAGTAGTATGCACCAGACTTCTCTGCATGCTTTGTCGTGTATCTTGAGTGTAGGGGGTCGAGCCTCCGGCGACGCGTTGTAGCTCAGACGCGCCAACATTATCGCGCGACTTGCTGGCAACAAGGCCCGTGATCCTTGACAAACAATTGACCAGACATCGGATGCGCTGGAACGCGACACAGACGGCTATCCTCGGCGACTTATCACCTTCCACAAAGACCGGAAAATGGCCCTCCAGACAATTCGAAAGCTAATGGCCAAGGCCGGCGCCGACTCCTGCATGGATGCACTGCCACCAGCGGATTCCCTGACCTGGATTGAACTTGCACTGGATGAGGCGGAATCCCCAAGTCTGTTGATCGGAAACGTAGGCAACCGCAACGTGCTGACTTATCTGCTGCCATCCGGCGGTGGTTGGGAGGTTCGCTACTGCCTCAGAACCATTGGCGATGACCGCGCGTCCTCGACGCTGCCATCAATCACCGGAGATGAAGCCATGACGAAGCCTCTCATCGTTCCGTTCAAATACTTCACAGATGGAACGAAGACCAAGAAGCGGATGCTTAGCATGATTATACGTTACTACTTCCTTTTGCAAGGTCATATAAGCAAAATCGATGCGTGGAACGATGACTTTAGTAGGCGGTTATCGTCTGTGCTGAGAAAGGTATACGGGAATACCGATGGAGGCCATGGGACCTATAAGCACCCCCGAGAAACAGGCGAGACTGTGGAGGAAAGCTCAGAGCCGGAAGACATGGAAAGCCCGAATGGATTGCTGCCTACCAACCGGAATGGCGTGCTAAACGCGCCCGAGAGCAA